CCTTAACATTAGGAAGAACTTTCTGACGGTAGGAGCTGTGGGACAGTGGTACAGACTCCCCCCAAGAGGGGAGGTTTTTAAGCAGAGGTTGGACGGCCACTGTCCGGGATGCTTTCGCTGTGAAGAGGGTTGATCTAGATGACCCTCAGGGTTCCCTTCAAACTACAATTTCTATGATTCTAGGATGCAGGTGGCGCTGTGGGTTAAACCACAGAGCCTAGGACTTGCAGATCAGAAGGTCGGCGGTTTGAATCCCCGCGACGGGATGAGCTCCCATTGCTCGGTCCCTGCTCCTGCCAACCTAGCAGTTCGAAAGCACGTCAAAGTGCAAGCAGATAAATAGGTACCGCTCTGGCGGGAAGGTAAACAGCGTTTCCGTGTGCTGTTCTGGTGCGCCAGAAGCAGCTTAGTCCTGCTGGCCACATGACCCGGAAGCTGTACGCTGGCTCCCTCGGCCAGTAAAGCGGGATGAGCGCTGCAACCCCAGAGTCAGTCACGACTGGACCTAATGGTCAGGGGTCCCTTTATGACCCTGGAAGGTGGTGGCCTCTCCTTTTCTGGAGGATTTTAAACAGAGGTTAGATGACGATACGGCACGATAATCTTTATTGTGATTGTCCCATACAGAACAACGAAATTGAAAAAATCTACATCAGGCATTCAAAAACCAACAAGCCTGCTATCCCAGCCTGGTTAACCCCCTAAAAACTCTGATACCCCATAATTAAATGCAATATACTCCTACAGAGACTACCTCACAGTGCGTTTAAAACCAAAATCGCATTTGGATAAAGACTGTTTCTCAGGTGGCTAGTCCTAGTCTGTATAATGCTTTGACCATATCCCAGGGACTCTTTAAGCCACTGCGTCTAATGTGTACATAATATTACAGTATTTAAAGTGGGGGGTTTTTTTATTTAAAAAAAACCTTTCTTTTTCACCAAAGAGCACCCAAGAATTACACAAGACCAATAAAACCAAGATATTCCCTGGCTGCAGGCTCCATTCTTTGGTTATTAAATGCTAATAAACCTGTCACCATTACAGGGGCCCTGCTATCAACAAACAGTTTCGACATTATCTATTATGCACCCTCTGTTGGCATTTGGCGATGAATTTAACTAACTCGCTCTGCCAGGGAGGAGAAAATGGTTTTGATTTATCCTTATAAATGCAACCGAAGTTCATTTAGAGTTAGGAATGAACTCGTGATTTCGATTTAGCTGCTTTCGAACCAGACAGTGGCTTGTAATTTTGACCTGAGCAGGCTATGGTTTGTTAAAGCCCTGAGGGATAGTTTTCCCGTTGCATAGCAGACAGCCCTTGCCAACCTGGTGCCCGCCGGATGTTTTGGACTACAGTTCCCACCATCCCCAGCCAGCACATCCGTCATGGATGATGGGAGTTATAGTCTGGCGAGCACCAGGTTGACAAAGGCTGCTCCAAGTCAGTGCTCTTCATTCTTGAGTCCCCAGACGTCATTGAACTACAACTCCCATCATCTGTGACAATTATTATTATATTTATATTTATATCCTACTTTTTCTCCTGACTCAAGGTGGCTTACAGCTAAAACAGAAACAGGGGGAGGGAAGCGATAATTAAAAATCAATTATTAAACATTAATAGAAAATATCATAGAATTGTAGAGTTTGAAGAGACCCAAGCATCATCTAGTCCAACCCCCTGCAAAGCAGCAAATTGTGTGATCCATTGAAAAACAGAGATCATTAAAATAAAAACAGTGCCAGTCCTTTCCTTAAAAGCAATTGTCCTCGCTAACTCAGAATGTCAGGAGTTGTAGTCCATAATTTCTGGAGGGCAATGATTTCTCGAAGCCAGTGTTTATATCAACCTGGGGTTTCTGGATGTTGTCAGACTACAGCTCCCATCATCCACGACAATTGGCTATGATGACTCTGGACGATGGGAGTTGTAGTCCAACGTATCTGGCGGGCTGCTCCAAGCCGATGCTGATGTCGCTCCCTCGTTGCCGGGCAACTTACGGCCTGTACGTATCAATCACCCACCCAAAATACTCTGGCAAAGATGACAGGACGAGTTAGAGGTCTGACAAAACAGAGAGTCTATAAGGAATGGAGAATATATAAAGAATATTTTAAAAACTATGGTGTAAACAGAAATCTCCTGGCAGAATTGGACTGATCCTTGAATTTCATAAAAGGCAACTGAGGTATAATAAAAAATCACAAGAAACAGGTAACTGTGCAGTATAATGTACCAGATAAAGTACAATGAGAATAATTTGAAGTTTTTTTAAATGTTTGCAGCACTTTTTATTTCTAATTGTGTGAATAATCATTGCATTAACAAAATACTTAATGTTGAGGAATTCCATAATCACGTATGTTTTTCCACTTCTCTTTTCCTTGATTTTTATACATTGTCCTTATCTTGCATTTTCCTTTTCTTTCTTTCTTATGTTGTAAGCTTGCAATGCCAAATACTGTATGGATGTATTCATTTTAACTCAATAAAGATTGACTAAAAAAAAAAAAAAAAATCTTTGGGTTCCCAAGCCTCAAAGAAAAACGCTTCCTGGATTTGGACGCAGCCCAAGTCCATCCACCCAAATCGCTCAGATCCCAGCGCACAGACGCAGGCAGCCTCATCCATTGTGGCGTCTGGAAAAACAGAGTTGCACAAATGAAAAAGTCTATTGGGTGAGGAGTAAAGATGATTTAAGGACAGAGGCGGAGGAGACTTTGTCCTGTCCGAGACGGTGCCTCTGGGGTGAGGCCCAGATTCTCCGCCAGTTGCTTGAAAGCCCCAGATTTCTTGGAAGTGTGAAGACAGAAAAACTCCAGTCCAGAATTTCATCCCCTGCGACTGTGCTGGCTGGGACAACGCCTCCTAGTGAAAGGGTGAGTAAAGGGACCCCTGACCATTAGGTCCAGTCACGGACAACTCTGGGGTTGCGGCGCTCATCTCGCTTTATTGGCCGAGGGAGCCGGCGTCCAGCTTCCGGGTCATGTGGCGAGCATGACTAAGCCGCTTCTGGCAAACCAGAGCAGCGCACGAAAACACCGTTTACCTTCCCACCAGAGTGGTACCTATTTATCTACTTGCACTTTGACGTGCTTTCAAGCTGCTAGGTTGGCAGGAGCTGGGACCGAGCAACGGGATTTCACCCCGTCGCGGGGATTCAAACCGCCGACCTTCTGATCGGCAAGTCCTAGGAACAGGGGAAGAAGTACAGCTGGAGCCCTGGAGAGATCAGCTGCGTGGTTAATTTTATCAGGCGTATAGTTTGATTTCTGTGCTTTTTTGGTGGTGGGGAGTGTGGTTCTTTTCTACAAGGGTACTACAGCAATAGCAGTGCATTATCAACAGATCTATGTTGGATACGCCATTCTACTTTATTAACCGTTCTGCAACGAGAGGCAGTGTGGCGCAGTGGTTAGAGCATCAGACAGGGGTCGGCAAGGTTTATCTCGCCTGGGCCGGTTCACTCCAGCGGAGATCCCTCCGTGGGCTGGATCGCACCTGCGATTTTCTGTGTCTGCACAGGCGCAATTACCAGCACTGCGGAAGTGAGTCCCTGCGCCGCACAGCGCCACTTTAGCGCAACACGCAGGGACTCGCCGAGCAGGCGGCTTGGTTCAGGGCCGCTTAAATGACCCCGTGGGCCGCTTGTGGCCCATGGGCCTTAGGTTGCCTACCCCTGGACTAGGGCCTGGGAAATCTGGGTTCAAATCACCACTTTGCCCATGAAACTGATTGACATTTCAGGTTGAGCACTGCTTCTCTGCCTAATCAAACTCACAGGGATTAAGCGAGGAGGGGAGAGCCAGGCATTTGAGCCCCTCCTTGGAGTAAAAAAAAAAGGGTGGAATATAAATGCAAAGAATAATTGCAATAAATTAAAATGATTTCCCCTAGAGAAAAGGTGAGTAAGAAGTGATGGAAGGTTATAAAACAATACATGGCATTATGAAAGTGGATAGAGGGGTGGGTGGGAATTATCCCTCTCTCCTAATGCTGGAACTCCTGGACGTCCCGCAAAGCTCCCTGTCGGCAGATTCAGGAAAGGCAGAATAAAGCCCTTCTTCACGCAGTGCTTAGGTAATCTGTGGAACTCCCTGCCACCGCTCTAGAAGGCTTTAAAAGAGGATTGGACAAATTCATGTAGAGGAATCGTAGAACTGTAGAATTAGAAGAGGGGCCGTCCAGTCCAACCCCCTGCAATACAGGAATATGCAGTCGGGATCAAACCCACAACCTTGGCATCATCAGCGCCACGCTCTAATCAGCAGCTATCCAGGGAGCCATTGAGGGCTACTACCCAGAATGGCAGGGACGCGGGAGGTGCTGTGGGTTAAACCACAGAGCCTAGGGCTTGCCGATCAGAAGGTCAGCGGTTCAAATCCCCGCGACGGGGTGAGCTCCCGTTGCTCGGCCCCTGCTCCTGCCAACCTAGCAGTTCAAAAGCACGTCAAAGTGCAAGTAGATAAATAGGTACCACTCTGGCGGGAAGGTAAACGCGTTTCTGCGTGCTGCTCTGGTTCGCCAGAAGCGGCTTAATCATGCTGGCCACATGACCCGGAAGCTGGACGCCGGCTCCCTTGGCCAGTAAAGCGAGATGAGCGCTGCAACCCCAGAGTCGTCCGCGACTGGACCTAATGATCAGGGGTCCCTTTACCTTTACCTATATGCTATATGGTAATTTATGGACCTAATAGGTATCTAAAGCCATTTGCACATAACAAAATGGGAGCCTACACAACACAAAACACTCTTGCTGTATGTAGGTTTTATTTTATTTGTTTTTAATCTTATATTTTGGAAATGTGCATCCAGTTTTTCCCCCCTTTAATTTTTTGGGCCCCCCCCCAAGAGACTGGGGCCATAAGCTAGAGCTCGTTTACCTTACACATAAATCGGGCACTGTTCTTATGCACAGTAACTCGCCACCAATTTAATTCTCTCTCTCTTTCCATTCTCTCATTTCTTTTCAAAGACCCCTCACCTCTGCGAAGGAAGAGGACTCCATGGCCCTTCGCACGCATCCTGACAGCAGCTGGGGATGGATGGTAGTCCTGGCAGGTTTTGTGCAAACGGCCCTGGTCTTTGGGGTGATCCGCTCCTTCGGGGTCTTCTTCGTCGAGTTTGTGGCTCACTTCAAGGAATCTACCAGCACTGTCTCCTGGGCCCTGTCTCTTGGGGTCGCCGTCCTGCAATTTGCGAGTAAGGGGCGTTCCAGGTTTGGGGGTCTTCTCCAGCGTGGAGATTTGTTTTGTTTTTTTAAAATGATATTTATTAAGGTTTAACAATTACAGAAAAAAGAAAAGCAGACAAAAAAAAATTACAATACTTCAAAAATAAAAGAAAATACAATACTAAAAAAAAAACAGTACAACAAAGCAATAAGAGAGAGAAAACAAAAACATTTAAAAACAAAAACATCCAGTATTTTCATATCTTTATCTTTCATTTACTTGTTTCCTTGACTTCCTCACACCTCCCTTTTTTGTATTCTAATTCAATTAGTTGTTTCAGCAAGTCCTTTCCCTCTTTCTCAGATTTTGTTCCATAATTTATCTTAACGCGATTTAACCTTAAATTTTACACTTTGACCCATTAACAATCCATTTTTACTTAATTCTTTATAACCTTTCTGCTAAAACCATGTACGTTCATTCCAGCATCCTTCTAACATTCATTAATTTTACAATGTTTTTGTAAATATGCTTCAAATTTTTTCCAATCTTCTTCCACCAACTCTTCTCCCTGGTGTCGGATTCTGCCAGTCATTTCCGCCATCCAGCGTGGAGATTTGAGTGCCGGCTCTGGGACGGCGGACTCCTCTCCGCTCTTATAACCCCAGTCCCAGAGGCAGGGAGGAATCGGAAAGCGGCTGGGTTATTTCCAACGTTGCTTTCGATGCACAGCCAGTGTCATAAAGTTAAACAGTAATTTGGATACTTCTGCCTATGCCGAGCGGCGAGGAAACGGCTCTTTATGTACCAGGGATAGGGAACCTGTTAAAGGTGTTTATGGGCTCCCGCGCCCATTGGGAAGGGGTCGTGGCTCAGCGCCAGAGCACCAGAGTACTCGTAAAAAAAGGTTGAGGGGTCTCAGCAGACCACAATCTGAACATGAGTCCGCAGCGTGATGCAGTAGCAAAAAAAGCTAGCGCTATTCTAGGCTATGGTTAAAAGTAAAGGTAAAGGTACCCCTGCCCGTACGGGTCAGTCTTGACAGACTCTGGGGTTGTGCGCCCATCTCACTCAAGAGGCTGGGGGCCAGCGCTGTCCGCAGACACTTCCGGGTCACGTGGCCAGCGTGACAAAGCTGCATCTGGCGAGCCAGCGCAGCGCACGGAAACGCCGTTTACCTTCCTGCTAGAAAGCGGTCCCTATTTATCTACTTGCACCCGGGGGTGCTTTCGAACTGCTAGGTTGGCAGGCGCTGGGACCGAGCAGCGGGAGCGCACGCCGCCGCGGGGATTCGAACCGCCGACCTTTCGATCGGCAAGCCCTAGGCGCTGAGGCTTTTACCCACAGCGCCACCCGCATCCCAGGCTATGGTTACCAGATTTTTTTCAATGGATCCAGGGACACTTTTTATTTTTTATTTTTTTGAAGCTGAGTAGCAACAGGGAGTCAGTAGTGGGGGTGGTGAGGCAAAAGGCCCTGGGCCCAAGCACACGTGCATATTGTATAAAGGTGCAAAGGCCTTCTTTCGCGCCCTGTGAAACATAAATGCGCAGAGTTTTTAAAAAACTGGGCAACGGCCGCCCGCCCTCAACTCCCGATCCTTTCCTGATCCCCTGCCCCCTTTCCCTTTTGTTTTGACAGATCAGGGAAGGCTCGGAGGTTGCGGGCGGGCGGCGGTTGCCCAGGAGGTGCGCAAGGCACACGGTTTCTCTGCCAGGCAAGGTGCAAAGCCCTTCTTTTGCACCCTGTGAAACATAAATGCGCAGAGTTTTTTAAAAACTGGGCAATGGCTGGCCACCCTCAACTCCCTAGGTAAAGGTAAAGGGACCCCTGACCGTTAGGTCCAGTCGTGGCCGACTCTGGGGTTGCAGCGCTCATCTCGCTTTATTGGCCGAGGGAGCCGGCGTACAGCTTCCAGGTCATGTGGCCAGCATGACTAAGCCGCTTCTGGCGAACCAGAGCAGCGCACGGAAACGCCGTTTACCTTCCCGCTGGAGCAGTACCTATTTATCTACTTGCACTTTGACGTGCTTTCGAACTGCTAGGTTGGCAGGAGCAGGGACCGAGCAACGGGAGCTCACCCCATTGCGGGGATTCGAACCGCTGACCTTCTGATCGGCAAGTCCTAGGCTCTGTGGTTTAGACCACAGCGCCACCTGCATCCCTAAGGGGTGTGTAAAGTAAAGGTAAAGGGACCCCTGACCATTAGGTCAAGTCATGACTGACTCTGGGGTTGCGGCGCTCATCTCGCTTTATTGGCCGAGGGAGCCAGTGTACAGCTTCCGAGTCATGTGGCCAGCATGACTAAGCCGCTTCTGGCCAACCAGAGCAGCGCACGGAAAGGCCGTTTACCTTCCCGTCGGAGCGGTACCGAGCAACGGGAGCTCACCCCATCGCGGGGATTCAAACCGCCGACCTTCTGATCGGCAAGTCCTAGGCTCTGTGGTTTAACCCACAGCGCCACCGGCGTCCCATTCTCAACTCCCTAGCCTCCCCTAATCAGTCAAAACAAAGGGAGAAGGGGGCAGGAGATCTGTAGCACTGGACGACCCCAGTTCTCCTTCAGCAGTGGCGGCGGCAGCAGCAGTCAGCAGCCCGGAGCCAGCCTGGTAGCACAGTTGGCTCTGGCTGGCTTCAGGAGCTGCTCGCTGCCATGACGCCCGCCATTTTTCCTCACCAGAAGCCCCCATATGACGTGTTGCGCACAAGACACATCATATGGGGACTTCCGGCGAGGAAAATGGCGGGCGCCACAGCAGCGAGCAGCTCCTGAAGCCAGCCAGAGCCAACTGCGCTACCAGGCTGCTGAGGCTGCCGCTGCCACGTTTCCCTGGGACAGATTTGCAAATCCGGGGACTGTCCCCGGGAACCGGGGACGTCTGGTAACCCTGTTCTAGGCTGCATCAACAGAAGTCTAGTATCCAGATCAAGGGAAGTCATAGCCCTGCTCTGTTCTGCCTTGGTCAGATCACACATGGAAGATGGTGTCCAGTTCTGGGTGCCACAATTTGAAAAAGGATATCAACAAGCTGGAATGTATGCAGAGGAAAGAGGCCTAGATGAACGAGGGCCTGGAAACCATGCCTGGAAGGAGCTGGGTATGTTTAGCCTGGAAAAGAGAGCGAGAGGAGCTGTGAGAGCATCCTCAAGTATTTGAAGGGCTGTCAAATGGAAGAGGGAGCAAGCTTGTTTACTCCTGCTCCGGAGGGTAGGATCTGAAGCCATGGATTCAAATTGCAAAGAGATTCCGACTAAACATTAGGAAGAGCTTTCAGAGGGTAAGAACAGCTTGACAGTGGAGCAGACCTGGAGGTTTTTAAGCAGAGGTTGGGTGTCCATCTGTCGTGTATGATCTAGTTGTGATTCCTGCATCGCAGGGAGGAAGAGTCCCCCACCTCTGTTCCACTGTCCAACAGTTCTTACTGTCAATTAAAGTATGTTAATTAGCCTCCATCGTTCTGCCCGGACACTGACGTCCAGTGCCAATGGCCTTCTGGCGGTACCCTCGCTGCAAGAAGCCATGTTACAGGGAACCAGGCAGAGGGCCTTCTTGGTGGTGGCGCCTGCCCTGTGGAACGCCCTCCCACCAGATGTCAAAGAGAAAAACAACTAACAGACTTTTAGAAGACATCTGAAGGCAGCCCTGTTTAGGGAAGCTTTTAATGTTTAATAGGTTATTGCATTTTAGTGTTCTGTTGGAAGCCACCCAGAGTGGCTGGGTAGGCCCAGCCAGATGGGCGGGGTATAAATAATAAATTATTATTATTATTATTATTATTATTATTATTATTATTATTATTATTATTATTATCTGGGGCACCGATTGCTGTTTAGGAGCTGCGGCAGCTCAGCTCTTGCAAAGCACAGCTTACGTTAATTAGCATACATTACAGTGGTGCCTCGCAAGACGAAATTAATTCGTTCCGCGAGTTTTTTCGTCTTGCGATTTTTTCGTCTTGCGAAGCACGGTTTCGGAAAAGTTTTGGAAAAGCTTCAAAAAATCACCAAAGTCTTCAAAAACCTCAAAAAAGGCTACCACACCACGTTCTATGAGTTGCTCCTCGAAGTCAAGTCGCAACTGTATTAACGGTGTTAAGAAAAAGGAAACAAACTTGCAAGACGTTTCCGTCTTGCGAAGCAAGCCCATAGGGAAAATCATCTTGCGAAGCAGCTCAAAAAACAAAAAACCCTTTCGTCTAGCGAGTTTTTGTCTTGCGAGGCATTCGTCTTGCGAGGTACCACTGTAATCACGTAGGATTGCATAACCTGCGACAGGGAGCTGAACGTTTGCATTAATTGAGCAAGCTCAACTCCTGCCAACTGTAAGAGAACCGTGCCGCTTATGTGTGTGCTGCCCCCTACAGGCCCGATGGGGAGCGCCCTCAGCGCCCGGTACGGGGCACGCCCAGTGGTGATGGCCGGAGGCCTCCTCGCTAGCCTAGGTTTGCTGCTGGCTTCGTTCTCCGTCAAGATCTCTCACCTTTACCTGAGCATCGGCCTCATCTCAGGTGCGCCTTCTTCTAAGCTGGGCGGGGGTTGGGATCTTTTTCCAGCTTGAGGGCCACATTCTCAAATGGGCAGCCTTTCGAGGGCCGCATGGGCAGGGCCAGGGTGAAAGGTTGGCAGGACAATGGATTCAAATGCTCACCTTTGTACAGTAGTATACCTAGGCCCAGTATATATGAAGGAGCGTCTCCACCCACATCGTCCAGCCTGGACACTGAGTTCCAGCTCCGAGGGCCTTTTGGCGGTTCCCTCCCTGCGAGAAGTGAGGTTGCAGGGAACCAGGCAGAGGGCCTTCTCGGTGGTGGCGCCCACCCTGTGGAACGCCTTCCCATCAAATGTCAAAGAGACAAACAACTACCTGACATTTAGCAAACATCTGAAGGTAGCCCTGTTCAGGGAAGTTTTTAATGTGTGACATTTTGATGTACAGTGCTGCCTCGCAAGACGAAATTAATTCGTTCCGCGAGTTTTGTCGTCTTGCGATTTTTTCCGTCTTGCGAAGCACGGTGTCGGGAAAAGCTCAAAAATCACCAAAGTCTTTTAAAACCTCAAAAAAGGCTACCACACTGTGTGCTATGAGTTGCTCCTCGAAGTCAAGTCGCAACTGTATTAACGGTGTTAAGAAAAAGGAAACAAACTTGCAAGACGTTTCTGTCTTGCGAAGCAAGCCCATAGGGAAAATCGTCTTGCGAAGCAGCTCAAAAAACAAAAAACCCTTTTGTCTAGCGAGTTTTTTGTCTTGCGAGGCATTCGTCTTGTGAGGTACCACTGTATTTTTAATCTTTGTTGGAAGCCGCCCAGAGTGGCTGGGGAAACCCAGCCAGATGGGCGAGGTACAAATAATAAATTATTATTATGTAGGTATAAGGGGCATTAGGGGAGCGGTAGGACCTCTGGTGGGGGGCATGTTCTGTTTCTTCTGGGATAGTTTGTCCAGGTTTGGTCCCCACCTGCACTCAGCTTTCACCTGGGGCTCCTAGAAGCTGCTCTTGTGTGACGGGACCACATCCTGGGAACAGCTTTGACTGGCCTGCTAAACCAGGTGAGGGCAGCTGATGTGTCTCAAACCCTCCCTGAATGTGGGACTCCCCCTGAATGTGAAGACATTCTATCTAACCCAGACATTAAAAAAAATAAAATCAAAATTATAACAAGACATATTATCCAAAAACATATCATCCTTGTCCCCCCCCCATTTTTCCTCCCTCCCCCCCCCACAAAACCCACCCGCCCACCCCCCAACTTCCCTCAGCAGTGGCGTAGCATGGGGGGTGCAGGGGGGCCCGGCCGCACTGGGCACAACATCTGGGGGGGGTGCGCTCGCCGCCTCCGGAGTCGCCGAAGAGCCTCGGGCGCAGGCTGTAGCAGAGCCCCATGTCTTGCGGAACCGATGAGCTGGCAGCGGCTCTCAGCGCTCGCCGCGGTCCCCGCGTGTCAGGGCCGTGGAGGGCGCGCCAGGCAGCCCCTCCTCACAGCCCCGCCGCTGCCGCTGCTGCTGCAGCTGCTGGGCCATGTTGCATTTTCCCCGCCTCTCTGCCCTCCTCCTCCGGGCAAGCAGCGTCGTTTGGGCGGCAGTGCCAGCGGCAACTCGCCTCAGATCACCTGACACGGACCCGCCCCCGCCGCCGTGGCTACCTTACCGTAAATACCCCAGCCCAGGCAGCAGCAAGAAGAAGCTGGCAGCGGCGGCAGGTTAGGGGTTAGGGGGCGCAAATTACTTGCCTTGCTCCGGGTTAGGGGGCACAAATTACTTGCCTTGCCCCGGGTTAGGGGGCGCAAATTACTTGCCTTGCCCCGGGTGCTGACAACCCACGCTACGCCGCTGTCCCTTAGTTCCAGTCTTTGGTTTCTCTAAGAATGCTGTTTTCTGCATGTTACAATGTTATATAGATCCTCAAACTACTTAGCTGCTTATTATCAATAAAAAGTTTGTGAATGTTTATTCAAAACCTGCCAAGGAGTCCAATTCACTTTGTTGCATATTCAGATACTTTGTAAAGGGTTCCCATTCATCCTTAAAGTATCTAACCCAGACATTTATCTGGATTCATGAGGACTACAAGCTTGCTTTATTTCCAGGGGGAGTTTGGCTGTAGCTCAGAGACAGAGCAGAAGGCACCTGATTCAATCCCCACCAATGTCTGGCAGCCCAGAGAGCAGTTAGTTGCTGCCGGTCCCCGTGCCGAGCCAGGGTCAGACTAGATGACCTGCAGGGGTCCCCTTTCCAAGCCTGCGATTCTGCGATCCACCGCCTGATCTCACCGCCTGCTTTTCTTCCCCTCCTTCAACCACAGGGTTCGGCTGGGCCTTGGTGTTCACCCCTTCCACGGCCGCCGTCTCCGATTATTTCCAGAAGCGCCGGGCTCTGGCCATGGGCCTGGCGGTCTCGGGCGCCGGCATCTCCTCGCTGGTCTTCTCCCCGCTCTTCCAGCTCCTGGCGGACTCGTACGGCTGGCGAGGGGCGTTGCTGGTGGTCTCGGCGATGTCCCTCAACCTGGTGGTGTCCGCCGCGCTTCTGAGGCCCTTGACCGGGGAGGGAGACGGACAGCCGGACGTCCAGGCCCAGGATTCAAAATGGCGGCAGACATTGGCTTCCCTCTTCGCCCTGGAGCTACTCCGCCAGGGACGCTTCCTGCGCTACGTCTTGGCCTTCGTCCTGGTCGACGCCGGCTACTTCGTCCCCTATGCCCACCTGGTGGCCCACGCCAGGGAAGAGGGCTGCGACGAATACCAAGCCGCCTTTATCATGGCCGCCGCCGCCGTGGCAGACATGTTTGGCCGGATTTGGGCCGGCTGGCTGGCAGATACCGCCGTCTTCTGCCGCCTCGTCCACCACCTGACCCTCTGGACTGTCCTCACGGGGGTCTCGCTCGCTCTGGTGCCCCTGGGGCACGGCTTCACCGCCCTGGTGTCCCTCGGCCTCTGCTACGGGTTCTTCGCCGGCGCCCTCGTCCCTCTCCAGTTCGCCAGCCTGGCGGAAATTGTGGGTGCCGACTCGGTGCTAGGGGGTATCGGCCTCATGCACATGTTGGAGAGCGTGGGGGCTCTGGTGGGGACCCCTCTGTCAGGTAAAGGGCTCCAGTTAATTCCCCCCTCGTTCCCAGGCTTCCGAGGGCTCTTTTGTGGAGGGTTCTGGTCGCCTCGCCTCAAAGAGGGTACTGAAAAGAGGTGGGAACGGTTCGGAGAAGGGAAATCGAAACAATTCAGAGGATGGAGGGGATCACCTGTTTTTTTCTAAACCACTGAGCCTAGGGCTTGCCGATCAGAAGGGCGGCGGTTCGAATCCCCGCAATGACGGGGTGAGCTCCCGTTGCTTGGTCCCTGCTCCTGCCAACCTAGCAGTTCAGAAGCACGTCAAAGTGCAAGTAGATAAATAGGTACCACTCCGGCGGGAAGGTAAACGGCGTTTCCGTGCGCTGCTCTGGTTCGCCAGAAGCGGCTTAGTCCTGCTGGCCACATGACCTGGAAGCTGTACGCCGGCTCCCTCGGCCAATAAAGCGAGATGAGCGCCGCAACCCCAGAGTCGGCCACGACTGGACTTAACTGTCAGGGGTCCCTTTACCTTTACCTTGAGTTATCATTTTTATTTTTATCATATATACTGCAATCTTTTTATGTGAAGCGCCCTGAGACCTCCGGGTATAGGGCGGTATATAAATTCATTTAAATAACAACAACAGCAACAGCAACAAGAACAACTCCCTCCCACAGTGACTGCCACCAATCTAGGTGACTTTAAAAGAGGTCAGATTCGTGGTGGAGAGGGCTATTGGTGACTCCTAGTGTTGTAAACAAAATCTGCCCTTTTTCCCTTATGGGGTTTCCAAGAGCCCATATAGAGTCCTTACGTAGGTTCCCTATTGGTAGGAGAGAATAACAGAGGCCAACCAGAGAATATTGAGAAGCAAAGCAGCTAGTAAGCCTGATCTTTATTGATCTGTTGCAACAGGGTGCTCCCCTCACCTGCAGGAAAGGAGGAGGACCCAGAACAAAGGTGTGCCCACCCTTATATAGACATTTTAAATTCCCTGCCCTGGAGCTCTAACCCCCTCCATACATCATACATACATCACAGAAGGGGTGTAACCCAAGACCACCCCCCACAAACATCATACCTACATCACAGAAAAGGTGGTCTACAACAGAAATCTGAGTGCGTTGTTTACCTCCTGTCTGGCAGGTTACCTGTTTAATGGTCACTTGATTGGATACCCTGGGGAGCCTGGCCAGTCTTTTGTAATAATAAATACTGAGTTCCTGAGCCAGGACACAGCCTCACACCCTATTCATATCTTTAAATGTGCCCTTAAGACAGGATTTGTGAAGGAAAAGACAATGGGGAGGCTTTTCCATTGTCCTTTGACCTTGCAGAGAAAACATTTGGTCAGTTTGGGAATCAAAAATGATTCCAGGTCGGTCTTCCTGTGCTGATCTATGTACGTGCTTGGCTGGTACACTTATGAACATTTAACATATATCTGGGTAAAAGCCTCAGTGCCTAGGGCTTGCCGATCGAAAGGTCGGCGGTTCGAATCCCTGCAGCGGGGTGCGCTCCCGTTGTTCGGTCCCAGCGCCTGCCAACCTAGCAGTTCGAAAGCACCCCCGGGTGCAAGTAGATAAATAGGGACCGCTTACTAGCGGGAAGGTAAACAGCGTTTCCGTGTGCGGCTCTGGCTCGCCAGAGCAGCGATGTCACGCTGGCCACGTGACCCAGAAGTGTCTCCGGACAGCGCTGGCCCCCGGCCTCTTGAGTGAGATGGGCGCACAACCCTAGAGTCTGTCAAGACTGGCCCGTACGGGCAGGGGTACCTTTACCTTTTTAAGATATATTCAAAATTCCTGTCACACTAGCTAGGGTGGCTAATCTCCACAGTGTGAGGCAGCAATGCTTCCAAATGCCACGTGCCACAAACCCAAGGAGCGGAGAGTGGCTCTTGTGTTCGAATTCTGCTTGCTGGGTTTCCCACTGTGAGAACAGCTACACGGGCCATTGGCTTGACCCAGCTGCAGCAGGGCTCTTCCTACGATCTTCTACCAGAGGGCAATGCCAATAAGCTCAAAAGCTAAGACCACCTTTTACGTTCCAGGCTGGCTGAGAGACATCACGGGGAATTACACCGCCTCCTTCCTCACGGCTGGAGCGTTCCTCCTGGCGGGCAGCGCGATCCTTCTCACCTTGCCGGACTACTTCTCCTGCTCCCGGCCATCGCAGACCAAGGCAGAGACCCTCACAGGACCCCCAGACCACCAGGCCTTCGAATTAAGGGGTCTGCCCCAACATGACAGAGTGTGAGGCGCAGACAGGTTAGCCGGTTGTGCTTGCAAAGAGAAGATGGGGGTGCCTTTGGACCTCTTGGCGCTCCCTGGGTGAGGAGAAAGACCCTCTCCCCCCAAAGAGCCCTTTCCAGCACCTCAAGACAAGCAAAGCCTCCATTTTGGGTGCCAAACCGCCGCTTTGGTCTGGGGAAAGGCAGGATGTAAGAAATTTGCTCAAAATCTGGCACAGCTTTCCGTCCTTTGCGGATAAGTGGTTGCAAAGATCCCCACAGGTTTATGCCGTAAATGGAAATGTGGGGAAAGGGGGTTTGGTGAGATTTGAGGGGTGGGCAAAGGAGGAGGAGATGGACCCTGAAGAGAGCATGCCAAACTGCTGCCATTGCCTCTGTTAACGGAGAAATCTGAGGGCTCCCTTGGACAAGAAACAAGGACGCCAGCCAGGAATACCAGAGCAAAACAGCAGCCAGTAGGCTTGGTCTTTGTTGAAGACTGTCGCGACAGGACTCCCACCTGCCACCAGGTGGAACAAGATGGAAGCCCCAAACAAAAGAGAACCCAAACTTTTATTAGCTGCTAATCCCCATGTTACACACCCCAAACTACATCACTCATACATCACGGTTACATCATGAAAGGGGAGGTCTGGTGGCAGCAATCTGAGCATCCTGGACCCTGCCCCATGGTTCCCCTTGCCCTCCACCAAACACCCATCAAGTGAAACAAAAAATATATTTACATTTCCCTGTTTCCCAGCCAAGTTAATCCCACCCTTTTGTCCTCATCTGGGTTTGTTATTTCTGGAATGGCCACCTGTCTGGCACTCAGGTATCAGGATGCCAGGGATTATCACTCAGGCAGAGGGGCTGCTGAGGAGCTGAACACACGTGTCTATATGAGTTTCTGAAGTTTTCCAGTGAGCCAGTACATAGTTACATTTGGTATTGTGCAGCAAAGGCCCTTTGAATAGATAGGAAGAAACTGTGATGAAGTGTTTTGTGGGGACAAATCACACTAAAATATTGATTTCTGATAAATGCAGAAGGCGTATTATTTCTTTATTACCCTAAGGTCCCTGGCTGGGCTACAACATCAAAATGTAACGTTAGAAACAGTTTAAAACCATTTACAGGAGTAAAGAGGAGATGATTCCTAAGAACATACCCCTCTCAAATGTTAAAAGTCGCGAGAAAGAGTTGTCTCTTTGGCATCCTCATTGGCAGCGACACTTCTGAACACCAGCTGCTGCGAATGGCAGGCAGGTGGTGCGCTCCTGCGTTCGAATCCTGCTTGCATCTGGCCAGCCACTGTGAGAACAGGACACTGGGCTAGATAGATAATCCTGCAGGGCTTTTCTTGGGTATTGCATTGCCGGGGGTTGGACTAAATGGCCCTTGGGGGGCTCCCATCTCTGCAATCATATGATTAATAATAATAATAATAATAAATTTTATTTATATCCCGCCCTCCCCAGCCGAAGCTGGGCTCAGGGCGGCTAACAACAATAAAATAAAACAACATTCTAAAATCATTTAATTATAAAATTAATTCAAATCAAATTGATGGCAACCACTGGGCTAGAGTTCTGTGAAGATTGCCAAAGGAGGGAGTCAGGCTGTGCCTTGGCCAAAGGCCTGGTGGAATAGCTCTGTCTTGCAGGGCTTGCGGAAAGATGTCAAGTCCTGCAGGGCCCTAGTCTCTTGTGACAGAGCATTCCATCAAATCGGAGCCACAGCCGAAAAAGCCCTGGTTCTGGTTGTGGCCAGCCTCTGTGGCCTGGGACCTCCAAGACGTTTTTGTTTGAAGATCGTAAGTTCCTCCATGGGACATACCAGGAGAGGCGGTCTCGTAGGTACGAGGGTCCTAGGCCGTATAGGGCTTTGAAGGTTAAAACCAGCACCTTAAACCTGATCCTGTACTCCACCGGGAGCCAGTGCAGCTGGTATAGCACCGGGTGAATGTGATCCCACGGCAAGGACCCCGTAAGGAGTATCGCTGCAGCATTCTGCACCTGCTGGAGTTTCTGGGTCAGTCTCAAGGGCAGCCCCACGTAGAGCGAGTTACAATAATCTAGTCTGGAGGTGACCGTCGTGTGGATCACAGTGGCTAGGTCAGGGCGAGAGAGGTTCTGTTGTGTGTTGCCTTCCTGCCATTTCTTTCTTCTTCTTTTTTTTAAAATTTTATTTTATCTTCCACTGTCTCTTCTCCCATGTCTCGGATTCTGCCAGTCATTTCAGCCAATTCCATATAGTCTATCAGTTGCATCTGCCATTCTTCCAGGGTGGGTAGATCTTGGGTCTTCCAATGCTTTGCAATGAGTATTCTTGCTGCTGTTGTCGCATACATAAAAAAGGTTCTGTCCTTCTTTGCCACCATTTGGCCGACTATGCCCAGTAGGAAGGCCTCTGGTTTCTTAGGAAAGGTATACTTAAATACCCTTTTTAGTTCATTATAGATCATTTCCCAGAAGGCCTTAACTTTTGGGCACGTCCACCAGAGGTGAAAGAATGTCCCTTCAGTCTCTTTACATTTCCAACACTTGTTATCAGGCAAATGGTATATTTTTGCAAGCTTGACTGGGGTCATGTACCATCGGTATATCATTTTCATAATATTTTCTCTCAAGGCATTACATGCCGTAAATTTCACACCGGTGGTCCACAAACGTTCCCAGTCAGCAAACATAATGTTATACCCAATGTCCTGTGCCCATTTTATCATAGCTGATTTGACCATTTCATCTTGTGTGTTCCATTTTAACAGCAGATTATACATTTTTGAAAGTACCTTGGTTTTCGGTTCTAACAGTTCTGTTTCTAATTTCGATTTTTCCACCTGGAAACCTACTTTTTTTGTCCAAATTAAACACCTCCCTAATCTGAGCATAATGTAGCCAGTCTCGCACTTTATCCTTTAACTTCTCAAAACTCTGCATTTTCCAAGTATCTCCATCTTTTTCTAATATTTCCCAATATTTCGGCCATTTGGCCTCCATATTGAGTCTTTTCTGAGCCTTAGCCTCCATTGGTGACAACCACCTTGGGGTTTTGTTTTCCAAAAGATCTTTGTATTTTATCCAGACATTAAACGCTGCCTTCCTTACAATATGGTTCTTGAAAGCTCTATGAGCTTTGACCTTGTCGTACCACAAATATGCATGCCATCCAAATGCATTATTGAACCCTTCCAAATCCAAAATATCAGTGTTCTCAAGAAGTAGCCAGTCTTTCAGCCAGCAGAAGGCTGCTGATTCATAGTACAATTTTAAGTCTGGCAGGGCAAACCCTCCTCTTTCCTTAACATCAGTTAATATTTTAAATTTTATTCTGGGCTTTTTGCCCTGCCAGACAAAGTTAGAAATATCTCTCTGCCACCTCCTGAAACACTCCACCTTATCCACAATCTGTAAAGTCTGAAACAGAAACAACATTTTAGGCAATACATTCATCTTTATAGCAGCAATTCGACCCAACAAGGAAAGCTTCAGTCTTGTCCAACTTTCTAAGTCTTTTTTGATTTCTGACCAGCACTTTTCATAATTATCCTTAAATAAGTTCAGGTTTTTGGCTGTCATATTTACCCCTAGATATTTCACCCTTTTAACCACAGTTAAGTCTGTCTCTTTCTGAAACCTTTCTGTTTCTGAGATTGTCATTTTTTTCCCCAAAACCTTAGTTTTTTGCTTGTTTAACTTAAATCCCGCCATCTGACCAAACTCTTGAATCAGTTCTAACACCCTTTTCGTACTAGATTCTGGCTCCTGTAATGTCAAGACCAAGTCATCTGCGAAAGCTTTAAGTGCCTTCCTGCCATTTCTGGTGTTCACAGGGACACACCTCCGTTCAGACTTTGGCCCCAGATTTTACAACAGACCATCAAACGCGGGCAATCTTCGGGTGGTCGCCCCGTGACAAAGAGGGAACTTCCGCGACATGCCTTGAAAGAGGCAGCAAGGGGGGGGTGTCAGGTTCTTTGATTGCATTTTATAATATTTGTGCTAACCCCATAGGAAATTAGCCACTTCTGCGGGAAAAGTCCGACACTTGTGTATATCCTCTGTTGCTCAGAATGCAGCCGCTTCTGGGGCAGAACACACAAGGAGGGAAACAGCCGCATAGGGACGCTGCTCTGTGCTGGCTGTGACTTCACGAGGCTCCTGTATTGAAAAGGCATGAGCCCCCAGGTATATTCTGAGCCCCCAGATGGGGGCTGGGGCTGGGCGATCACGCTGGCGTGTTTCATGCAGTCCGTCCTGGTCTTTGGGGTCACGCGCCTTTTAGGCATCTTCTTTGTGGAGTTCATGGCCTATTTCGACGAGCCGTCGAGCGCCACGTCCTGGATTTCGTCCATCGCCTTGGCCACGATGATGGTCACCAGTGAGTACCCGACTCTGGTCCATTTCCAGGGGGGTTAAGAGAAGATAAAACTTCATTCGCGTTAGCCAATGGCCATTGCAACAGTAAAACATTGCAGTACAGTGGTACCTCGGGTTACATATGCTTCAGGTTACATACGCTTCAGGTTACAGACTCCGCTAACCCAGAAATAGGACCTCGGGTTAAGAACTTTGCTTCAGGATGAGAACAGAAATCGGGCTCCGGTGACGCAGCAGCAGCAGGAGGCCCCAATTAGCTAAAGTGGTGCTTCAGGTTAAGAACTGCTGTTGTTGTTTAGTCATTAGTCGTGTCCAACTCTTCATGACCCCCTGGACCAGAGCACGCTAGGCACTCCTGTCTTCCACTGCCTCCCGCAGTTTGGTCAAACTCATGTTCGTAGCTTCGAGAACACTGTCCCACCATCTTGTCCTCTGTCGTCCCCTTCTCCTTGGGCCCTACATCTTTCCCAACATCAGGGTCTTTTCCAGGGAGTCTTCTCTTCTCATGAGGTGGCCAAAGTATTGGAGCCTCAGCTTCAGGATCTGTCCTTCCACTGAGCACTCAGGGCTGATTTCCTTCAGAATGGAGAGGTTTGATCTTCTTGCAGTCCATGGGACTCTCAAGAGTCTCCTCCAGCACCAGAATTCAAAAGCATCCATTCTTCAGCGATCAGCCTTCTTTATGGTCCAGCTCTCACTTCCATACATCACTACTGGGAAAACCACAGCTTTAACCATAGGTTAAGAACAGTTTCAGGTTAAGAAGGGACCTCCGGAACGAATTAAGTACTTAACCCAAGGTACCACTGTATACTCAGTAAAGGAAATTTGATATAAGAGCACAATTTAAAGTCCTGAATCAGCAGCCCTTATTCTGATTGCCCCTGCTATGAACCTAGCAACCTTTGCTGTTATCTGCTCATTTTGATCTGATAGAAGGAAGGACATTGTGGCAGTGGCTGAGCGTCCTGGGATGGTTAGTACGAGTGGGGTGATGATCTCGTTCCTCAGGTCTTTGTAGAGAGTGCAAGACAGGAGGACGTGTGCCGCTGTTTCGGTGCTACCATCTCCACAGGGGCAAAGGCGTTTCTCAGGCGGGATCTTTTGGAATCGGCCCTCGAGTACCGCAGATGGCAAAACATCCAGTCTTGCAAGTGTAAAAGCACGTCTGTATTTTGGCATAATAAGTTTGTGCAGATATGGGGCCAGAGGATTGAAATGGAGAGGTGGAAAATGAACATACCGAGGGCAGAATTTCCTTATAGTGGCCAGGTTGTTCTGATGCTCTATATCTTATAGACGTTGACCAATTAGACTGTTTGCTTTAGTGGGGCCCATAGTGAGTAGGTGGGGATAGGACACAAGAGTGAAGTTTTTGACAGATGGTTTTAAGCCAGGTACTTTTATGGGAGTCTTGAAGTACTAGGGATAGTAAACCGGGGATGGTTCCAGGATCTAAGAGCCAAGAGCTTGATTTCCAAATGCAGTTGTAAACCTAGCCTTGCTCACTCATTTAAGCGGGTCAAATCCTGATACAATAGCCTGTTTTATTTCCCACCTGTCTTTTAGCAGCTACTAGCTACTTGTTGTTGTTTAGTCGTTTAGTCGTGTCCGACTCTTCGTGACCCCCTGGACCAGAGCACACCAGGCCCTCCTGTCTTCCACTGCCTCCCGCAGTTTGGTCAGACTCATGTTTGTAGCTTCAAGAACACTATCCCACCATCTCGTCCTCTGTCATCCCCTTCTCCTTGTGCCCTCCATCTTTTCCAGGGAGTCTTCTCTTCTCCTGAGGTGGCCCAAGTCTTGGAGCCTCAGCTTCAGGATCTGTCCTTCCAGTGAGCCCTCAGGGCTGATTTCCTTCAGAATGGAGAGGTTTGATCTTCTTGCAGTCCAGGGGACTCTCAAGAGTCTCCTCCAGCACCAGAATTCAAAAGCATCAACTACTAGCTACTAGACCTCGTCAAACGCTCTCAGAGTCTGAGAGCAAGCTAGTCACTGCTCAGGGACAAATTCAGCATCGTTTTCTGGAAGCAAAGGTGCAGCTGGGCAAGAAATCAGTGCAAAAAAGAAAAAGGCGCTGTTTGTTTTTAAAACAACAGTGGACCAGCAAAGCCGATTTACGCAATTCACTTTTGTTCTTCAAATTACTCCTTCACTGCTGTAGTTTCATTTCTTCCTCCAAGAATTTTTGGAAAACAAAACACACAATTTTAATAAAATGGGTCGAAGCAGAGAGCTTTGTATAAATGCTCATTTGCTTTGTGTGGAACTCGGTTTCTGCAAAAGCAATAGCAAAGAAACAGGGACTTCGTCTAGGCAACTGCCAGTAAAATAACCCTTTTTACACTTCTGTTAATGGCAGCCAGAATTTGCTTGTTTGTCCACAGTCCAGCTGCACTCCTCTATTCCCCCACCCCTTTTACTTATTTTCTTAGGTCGAATTGCTACTGGCCGCAATGGCTGGGAGGCAGCCGTGCTTCTGAGTACAGCGGTACCTCAGGTTACATACGCTTCAGGTTACATACGCTTCAGGTTACAGACTCCGCTAACCCAGAAATAGTGCTTCAGGTTAAGAACTTTGCTTCAGGATGAGAACAGAAATCGGGCTCCGGCGGCGTGGCAGCAGCGGGAGGCCCCATTAGCTAAAGTGGTGCTTCAGGTTAAGAACAGTTTCAGGTTAAGAACGGACCTCCGGAACCAATTAAGTACTTAACCTGAGATACCACTGTACCAGTTTGCTGGAAGCTGCAGGTCGGGTAGAACCAGACTCTTGCGTTCTTCATGGGACCTGATCCAGCAAGCTGTTCTTGTGGCGTATTGCAGATTCTTTGCACGGCTGCGGGTTGGGATAGATGACCCCTAGGGGTCTCTTCCAACTCTCCAATTCCCTGATCTTTTCTCCTCCTGGTATTCAGACCGCAGGTGTGCAGGGACACACCTCTGCGCAGACTTTGGCCCCAGGGTTTACGACGGGCAACCTTTCGAACACAGGTCACATCAAGCACAGGCGATGTTCAGGGGGTCAGCCGTGGCAAAGGGAGCACTTTCTCAACGCTGACGTGGTTTGGAAGAGGAGGAGAGGGGACCTGGTGGTTTAGCTCTCTTTAAAAAAAGAAAAGGAAAAGAAAGCTTTCTGCTGATCCTATAGGAAAGTCGCCACTTCGGGGGGAGGAGGAGAAGTCGCCTATATATGCTCCATTACTCAGAATGCAGAATGCAGCCACTTCTGGGGCAGAGTCCACAAAGCGCAAAACAGCCGCATAGGGAAGCTGCTCTGTGCTGGTGGTGAATTCATGGGGCTCCTCTACTGAAACGACATGAGCCCACGGGTATATTCTGAGCCCCCAGATGGGGGCTGGGGCTGGGCGATCACGCTGGCGTGTTTCATGCAGTCCGCCCTGGTCTTTGGGGTCACGCGGCCTTTCGGCATCTTCTTTGTGGAGTTCATGGCCTATTTCGACGAGCCGTCGAGCGCCACGTCCTGGATTTCGTCCATCACCGTGGCCACGTCGAAATTCACCAGTGAGTACCCGATTCCGACGACCGAGTGACTGGTTTCTAAACGCAATTGTGAGCTTAGTCGGTTTCTGCACGTGCTATAGAGGGAAGTGGGACGCGGGTGGCGCTGTGGGTTAAACCACAGAGCCTAGGGCTTGCCGATCAGAAGGTCGGCGGTTCGAATCCCCGTGACGGGGTGAGCTCCCGTTGCTCGGTCCCTGCTCCTGCCAACCTAGCTGTTCGAAAGCACGTCAAAGTGCAAGTAGATAAATAGGTACCGCTCCGGCAGGAAGGTAAACAGCGTTTCTGTGCGCTGCTCTGGTTCGCCAGAGCGGCTTAGTCATGCTGGCCACGTGACCCAGAAGCTGTACGCCGGCTCCCTCGGCCAATAAAGCGAGATGAGCGCCGCAACCCCAGAGTCGGCCACGACTGGACCTAATGCTCAGGGGTCCCTTTACCTTTACAGAGGGAAGTGGTGATAACGATTATTGTTATTTATTAAATTTGTATACCTGTAGGTCTCAGGGTGGTCCACAACGTAAAAGCACAAAATAAAAACTGAGGGGCAGGTGGGGGACTTTCTCCTGGGAAGGGAGCCCACCTTGGAGAAGGAAAACTCTGGTCAGATATCTTCAGGAGACGAAAAGGCTCAGGAATAACCCCTACACAAATCTGGAGCGGAGTCCCTAAGGCGGTTGGATGGTGCCTTGTACACCTCCTTCTCGCAACTCCCGCAGCCAAACTGGTGCCAAACGTCTTGCTCTCTGCTTTCCTGTGGACACATCAGCCAGGCCCAGAGGGGGATCTTGTCATCTGGGCAGCCCAGGACCCAACTTCTAGAATCCATGAGCCCTTCGCCCCCCAATAAAATACAGTGGTACCTCAGTTTTCAAACATCTCCGCTGACAAACCTTTCGGAACTCGACTGCCATAAAACCAGAAGTAACTGCTTCAGTTTTCGAACGTGCCTTGGAAGCCGAACGGCTTCTGCTGAGTGTTTACCGTATTTTTTGCTCTATAGGACTCACTTTTCCCTCCTAAAAAGTAAGGGGAAATGTGTGTGCGTCTTATGGAGCGAATGCAGGCTGCGCAGCTATCCCAGAAGCCAGAACAGCAAGAGGGATCGCTGCTTTCACTGCGCAGCGATCCTTTTTGCTGTTCTGGCTTCTGAGATTCAGAATATTTTTTCCCTTGTTTTCCTCCTCCAAAAACTAGGTGCGTCTTGTGGTCTGGTGCGTCTTATAGAGCGAAAAATGCGGTATGTTATTTTTCTCAATTTTCTCCATTGAATTGGCAGACCGCCCCTTGCGCCTCAGTTTTCGAACGTTTCGGAACTTGAATGTTCTTCCAGAACAGATTATGTTTGAAAACCGAGGTACCACTGTATTTGAGGGGGTCTGCCCCACCCCCAGTTGATGGACATTGCCTTTCAAATGGTGTTCATGAGTCTTGTGATTGATTGTGCAAGGCAGGCCTTACCTGGGCCCCCCAATAATATTTTATCTAAGTGGGCACCCTTGAATAGGGAAATAGTATTAACTGTTATTTTCATTCCTGTCCGCACCTTTTACCTAGACTGGGACTTGAGGCAGCTTACTCCGATTAAAGCAAAAGGGATAAAATGCAGAAGACTCAAAGTCATTAGCAGAGTCCAAGCAATATAAAGACAGGTGTATACAGATAGCAAAAAGAAAAGAAAAGAAAAAAGGATGGCATTATTTAAAAGCCCTTACTTTAAGTAAACAGTCCGTTCCCCAAAGGCCGGTAGTTATAAAAGCATCTTCACCTGTTTGGCAGAAGGACAAGAAGTGGGGAGCCCATCTGGCTTCTCTAAGCAGGGAGTTCCAAAGTTGCCTGAGAGGAGCCACCACTAAAAAGGCCCTGTCCCGTGTCCCCACCGTGCAGGCCTCGGAGGGTAGCAGGACTGAGAGAAGCGCCTCCCCCAGAGATCTCAGATCCTGGGCAGATCCATAGGGGAGAATGAGATCCTTCGGGTAGCCTCAGCCTCAGCCGTGAGGGTCCAGATCAGCCCCTCTGTTTATCTTCTATATTTTCAGGTCCGTTGGCAGGGGCACTGGCCACTCAGTACGGAGAGCGTCCCGTCGCCATTGCAGGGGGGCTCCTTTCGGGCCTCGGCTATTTCCTCGCCTCCTTCGCCACCAACCTGGCACAGCTCTATATATTTATTGGCATGTTCACAGGTAAGGAATGTCTGGAGTCAAGCCAGGGTCTCTTTCTTACTGGGAGGGGCTCTTCCGCCTTCCTCCGCAGTAAAGACCCCCAGCCACAGGCCAGAAAGGTTTATTATTTGAATTTGCTTGCCACATTATACACACACAGAGACACAGAACTGCATGCCCTAGGTTCTCCCTTGCTCCCTCTAAATCCCTATAAATCAATATTGTCATTATATAAAATGTCTTTTGCAAATGGATAACACACATGCATGTTATCCCAGAGTTGGGAGGGACCTCCGAAGCTCATCTAGTCCAACTCTCTGCAATGCAGGAATTGTTTGCCAGTGTGGGACTCGAACCCAGAACCCTGATATTCAGAGTCTCGTGCTCCGCCAACAGAGCTATCCCAGCTTACAGAGCTATTTATACATAATTTCATATCTGTAAGCGTTATGATATACTGTCGTACCTTGGTTCTTGAACTTTATTATTATTATTACTATTATTAATTATTATTTATACCCCGCCCATCTGGCAGGGCTTCCCCAGCCACTCTGGGCGGCTTCCAACCAAATATTAAAATGCAGTAGTACATCAAACATTAAAAGCTTCCCTAAACAGGGCTGCCTTCAGATGTCTTCTAAAAATCTGGTAGTTGTTCTTCTCTTTGACATCTGGTGGGAGGGCGTTCCACAGGGCGGGAGCCACTACCGAGAAGGCCCTCTGCCTGGTTCCCTGTAACTTGCAGGGAGGGAACCGCCAGAAGGTGCTCGGAGCTGGACCTCCATGTCTGGGCAGAACGTTGGGGGTGGAGACGCTCCTTCAGGTCTACTGGGCCTTTGAGGCCGTCTAGGGCTTTAAAGGTCAGCACCAACACTCCGAATTGTGCTCGGAAATGTACACCGGACGTTCGGCTTCCGGAAAACGTTCAGAAACCAGGACGGCTGCTTCCGGTTTCTGGTTGTCCGGGAGGCAGAACATTTGCACTGAAAAGCGCTCAGTTTTCGGGCTACGACTGGAACTGCCTCCCTTCGTTGCGCTGACGCCCTGTTTCCCTCTCTTCCCCACACAGGAATTGGAGGCACCTTTGCCCTCTGGCCCTCGCTGGCCTTGCTGTCGCGGTACTTCGAGCGCCGCCGTCCCCTGGCCACCTCCCTGGCCCTCTCGGGCGCTGGCGTCGCCTCCCTGGCCCTCTCGCCCCTCTTCCAGTTCCTGGTGGACCTCTACGGCTGGCGCGGGGCTCTCCTGCTGGTATCTGGGATGGTCTTCCACCTGCTGCCCTGCGGAGCCCTGCTTCGCCCCCTCGCCTTGCCAGAGGACGATGCCCTGGCAGCGCCCCCGGAGCAGGCGGTCAGCTGGCGCCACCGTCTCTCGTCTCTCTTCGGACTCTCTCTGCTCCGCCACCGAGGCTTCATGACCTACACCTGCTGCGGGGTGCTGAACGCGGCCGGGTTCTTCGTGCCCCTGGTCCACCTCGTGCCCCACGCCCGGGAGCTGGACTTCGACGAGTACCAGGCGGCCTTCCTCGCCTCCGCCGTGGGAGTGGCCGACATCGGGGGCCGCGTCGCCTGCACCTGGCTGGTCACCTGCGGCCCTCTCCGCCTCTGCCACCACCTCACCCTGTGGAGCTTCCTGACAGGGGTTTCCGTCCTGGCAGTGCCCCTGGGCCGCAGCTATGGGGCCGTGCTCGCCATCAGCGCCTGCTACGGTTTCCTGGCCGGCGCCGTTCTCCCGCTCAGGGTCTCCACTCTGGTGGAAATCGTGGGTCCTGCACGGATCATGGGTGCCATCGGACTCATCAACCTGATGGAAAGCGTTGGGGCGCTGTCTGGGCCCCCCCTCTCAGGTAAGGAGGGCACGGTGCAGGCCGGAGCCTGGCGGTCAGCCGGTCAGTCTCCAAGCATCCTGATTTTCCAGGGACAGTCCCAGATTGACAGAAACTGTCCCGGTTTCATCATCATCATCATTTTTAATTTGTATCCCGCCTTTCTATCTTACAATACTCAAGGCGGTTTACAAGCTGAAGAAACAAAAAAATGTACATCTTATAACAATCTAATGCAATACAAAAATGTGATAATAAAACAGAACTTTAAAATAGGCAGCCTACATCAAAATGGGGACGCGGGTGGCGCTGTGGGTTAAACCACAGAGCCTAGGACTTGCTGATCGGAAGGTCGGCGGTTCAAATCCCCGCGACGGGGTGAGCTCCCATTGCTCGGTCCCTGCTCCTGCCAACCTAGCAGTTCGAAAGCACGTCAAAGTGCAAGTAGATAAATAGGTACCCCTCCGGCGGGAAGGTAAACGGCGTTTCCGTGCGCTGCTCTGGTTCGCCAGAAGCGGCTTAGTCATGCTGGCCACATGACCCGGAAGCTGTACGCCGGCTCCCTTGGCCAGTAAAGCGAGATGAGCGCCGCAACCCCAGAGTCGGCCATGACTGGACCTAATGGTTTTTAACATTTAAAGTTTTATTATGTTTTTATACATGTTGGAAGCCACCTAGAGTGGATGGCATGTTGTTGTTGTTGTTGTTGTTAAGGACATCCCTATTTTCACCAGAAAAATGTCGGTGGGTACAACCTGCAGCCATCTCTCATACCCAAGGTTGGATGAAGACCTTTAGATGTGCTAAGCACTTAAAAGATTTCGATGCCCACTCCCATATATGTAATTCAAAATATAAACCACAAAAAACTGTAAAATAAAATGTGACTTTTCAAAACGAGACGAAACCTACAGTAAGATGGAAAATAATGTTTATTTTTGTATAGTTCCACTTCATTCATATTTGAAACATTTCCTCCAACTTTTTATGATTGCGAAGCCTTTGATCGGATCCTCAGAACTAATCTTAGTGTTCCCCCTGAGGCCACACCTACCTGTCCGTCGGGTGCTGTCACCCCAATAGGCGAGTGACGTAAGCAAATTGAGACGAGGGGTGTCATATAAAGCTGTGCTAGGAGTGGGAGGCAGAGAAAAAACTGCTTTATTGCCCTTTAGCATACTGTCAACTCAGCTGTAGTCATTTAAATGAACAACTTAGATTTCTCTCCCTCTCTCTCAAAATACATCGCCTCCATTTTTGCCCGAGACTGGCGGGCTTATCCCATAGCTGTCAACGTTTCCCTTTTTTTAAAAAAGGGAAATCCCCTTATTCTGAATAGGCTTCCTCGCAAGAAAAGGGAAAAGTTGACAGCTATGGCTTATCCCCCAGCTTATCTCCTCCATTGAACGCACTAGCCACAAAATTCAGGACAGATGAAATAAAGGACTTATTTGTGCCGCGCAGTTAAACTGCGGAACTACCTGCCACAAGAGGCAGCGACGTCTACCAAACTAGATGGCTTTAAAAGAGGATTGGGTGAATTCATGGAGGAGGAGGAGCAGGCTATCGATGGCTTCCGACCTCTCCCTTCACAATTGGAGGCCATCGATAATAATAATAATTTATTATTTGTACCCCGCCCATCTGGCTGAGTTTCCCCAGCCACTCTGGGCGGCTCCCAATCAAGTGTTAAAAACAGTACAGCGTTAAATATTAAAAACGACCCAGCGGACCTGATCCAGCGGGCTTTTACTATGCTCTTATTATGTACACCCTCAAGATGAATCTTATCCCACTCACGACTTGAACCTTTCCTCTGTTCCAGGTTGGATCCGGGATGTGAGCGGAAGTTACAAGGCCTCCTTCCTGGCAGGGGGCTGCTTCCTCGTCGCTGGAAGCCTGGGACTTTTGCTCCTCCCCGGCTATTTCTCCCTCCAGACCCCCAGACCCCCCAAGCAGAACCAGGAAGGGAGCAAGCCGGAAGATCCCTGGAACCCAAGCCAGCAAAACGGAGTTTGTCTAGCCTGACGGAGATCAACCCCAGACTGTTTCGTTTTGGGAAAAGGACCAGTCTCTCCATCGGCCTGGGACATGTCATATTCCTGATATTTGGGGGCAGGAAGGCAGTAGGATGGAGGGGATCAGTCTGGTTTTTTACCCTCTGTCTTGCAAGCCCCACACACCCCCAGCTAGGAAGGGACAGGAGTAAAATATACATCAGTTTGGTCCAAATTAGGTACCAGAGTCAACTCTCAATACATCACTTCTGGCAAATGAGACATCCTAGCTGCTTAATGGGCCATGAAAATTTGTGTCCCGGGCTTTGGAAACCCCTGTGCTATCTGAAACCAAAGCAGCACATTAGTTGCCAGATGTGAAATATATTAGCCTTGCTTTCAGTTCTCCTACTCTACTATATTGGACTACAAATCCCATCAGCCTCTGCCAGCACGACTGCGCATGATTTATGGCTGAACACCTGAAGCGCGCCAATTTGGGTAGAAAACTGCTGTTAGACCGGGCAGCTCTCACGGCGCATACGTAACTCATATTTAATAAAAAAGAGATATATATATTCTTCTGCAGTGCAGGCATGGTCGATAAAAGCAACCTCTTCGTATGCAAGTTATTGATCCCTTGAAATGAAATTTTAAGGGAGGAATTATTCGGCAGACACAGTCTTGTGAAAATGGCAGGCTTATCCAGCCTTCGAACTCCAGCCTTGATAAAATAATAATCATAATAATCACCTGCATGGGCAAAAGAGATATTCTCAAATCCTCTGAAACCTTTCCAGTTTGTGGATTAGTGTCTGAGAAACAGTCTCTCTTCCAGATTTAAGATATGAGACAACTCTGCCAACTTTTTGGCCTCTGCGGTGAAAAACAGGCGCTCACGGCTGAAGTTCGGTTGTTGTGTCAATGCTTGAGAAGGGAAGACGTGTTTCTTTTCTTTCTTCATACCTGCGAACATTTGCTTGTGAGGGGAGAAGGCAGCAGAGAGGGGACCGAGCCAAGGGTTCCCCGGCTCCTGCGATGGGCATCGTCCTTGCAGCAGCCAGGGCAGAAGGAGGGGAGGGCAGCGAAGACCCCGCTGGCGCAGAGGACGAAGGACCCTCCGACCAGGAACGAGGCAGTGAAGTCTCCTGTCAGGTCCCTCAGGAAACCTGGAGAGGAAGAGGAAGACAGTAGGAGCCCGCCAGATCTTGCTTTTGCCAGAACTTGGAGAATTTGGAGGCGGGCAGGAGGCCTGGACTCGTGGCTAATGGCAAAAGAGAACCTCCATGACCAAGGGCAGTGTACCTTGGTGCCTGGCAGGGCCGGATATAGGTGTGATGGGGCCCTAAGCTACTGAAGGTAATGGGGCCAGCTGTCCTCTGTCAACAACAAATTGTCACTGTTTTTTGTGTTGAATATATGCTGTATGGCCATTTATGGACCTCATAGTTATCTCAAGCCATTTGCACATAACAAAATATGTATTTTATCAAACATTTTTTTCCCTTTACATTTACATCACCTTGCCAACAAAGGTCCGTATAGTTAAAGCCATCGTTTTCCCAGTAGTGATGTATGGAAGTGAGAGCTGGACCATAAAGAAGAAGAATGGATGCTTTTGAATTCTGGTGCTGGAGGAGACACTTGAGAGTCCCATGGACTGCAAAAAGATCCAACCTCTCCATTCTGAAGGAAATCAGCCCTGAGTGCTCACTGGAAGGACAGATCCTGAAGCTGAGGCTCCAAGACTTTGGCCACCTCATGAGAAGAGAAGACTCCCTGGAAAAGACCCTGATGCTGGGAAAGATGGAGGGCACAAGGAGAAGGGGACGGCAGAGGACAAGATGGTGGGACAGTGTTCTCGAAGGTGCCAGCCTGAGTTTGACCAAACTGTGGGAGGCAGTAATAATAATAATAAGCGAAGTGTCCCTTACCAGAGAGAGGCGGGCCTAGCAGCCCCCCGACGCTCATGGCCATCAGACACAGCCCCGTGGCATTGACCACGCGTGACACGCCGACGATCTCGGGCAAGACCCCAAAGGCCACTGTGGCAAAACTGCCCGCGCTTGTGCCATAGAGCAGGGCCAGTCCGAGGGCATCTGCGAAGGACGAGGCGAGCGGGAAGAGGAGGAGGCTACAGGCGGTCAGCGCACTGCAGAGGACGAGGAGGCGGGCCGGGGACAGGAGGCGCCGGTCAGCCAGGCCGCCGGCCAGCAGCCGGGCCAGAGCGTCCGAGAGGGAGGCCGCAGACACAACGGCGGCGGCTTCGTAGGGTCCGAGGCCCATCGCTCGGCCGTAGGGCTCCAGGTGGACATAAGGCGTGAAGTAGCCAGCGGCCAGTAGGGCGGCGCCGAGGGAGAAGGCTGCAAAGCCCCTCTCGGCGAACAGGCCCAGATCGAAGCCCGGTCCCGAGTGCGAGAGGTCGCCCCGCAGGCTCAACGGGCGCAGGAGGGCCCCGCAGACCAAGAGGTGGAGGCCCAGGGCGGAGGTGGCGAGCAGAGCCCCTCGCCACGCCAGGGAGTCAGCCAGGAGCCTGAGCAGCGGGGAGAAGGCGAAGGAGGACAGTCCGTTGCCCATCAGTGCCAGGCCCATCGCCAGGGAACGCCGAGACGAGAAGTAGCGCGAGAGGGTGCCCATGACGGGGGCAAAGGCCAGCGCCCAGCCGAAACCTGCGAGGGGAGAGAGGCTTTGGGTGGGCAAAGTGTTGCAGGAATTTATGTATAGGTTGGGGTGTGTGTTGCCCCTCCAGCAGATATCACGCACCTGCAGCCCACTACCAAAACCAGCACAATCGCTTTTGTGACTTTTGTGATTTGTCCCCACAAAACACTTCATCACAGTTTCTTCCTGTCTATTCAAAGGGCCTCTGCTGCACTATACCAAATGTAAGAATTCACTGATAAATGTATCTATGTACAGTGCTACCTTGGGTTACATACGCTTCAGGTTACAGACTCCGCTAACCCAGAAATATTACCTCGGGTTGAGAACTTTGCTTCAGGATGAGAACAGAAATTGTGCTCCGGTGGTGCAGCAGCAGCAGGAGGCCCCATTAGCTAAAGTGGTGCTTCAGGTTAAGAACAGTTTCAGGTTAAGAACGGACCTCCGGAACAAATTAAGTACTTAACCTGAGGTACCACTGTATTGGTTCACAGGGAAAACTTCAGAAATCCATATAGACAGGTGAGCTCAGCTCCTCAGCAGCCCCTCTGCCTGAGTGATAATCCCTGGCATCTTGATACCTGAGTGCCAGACAGGTAGCCATTCCAGAAAGAACAAACCCAGATGAAGACAAAAGGGTGGGATTCACTTGGCTGGGAAACAGGGAAATGTAAATATCTTTTTTGTTACACTTGATGGGTGTTTGGTGGAGGGCAAGGGGAACCATGGGGCAGGGTCCAGGATGCCCAGATTCCTGCCACCAGACCTCCCCTTTCATGATGTAACTGTGATGTAGTTTGGGGGGGTGTAACATGGGGATTAGCAGCTAATAAAAGTTGGGGTCTTCTTTTGTTTGGGGCTTCCATCTTGTTCCACCTGGTGGCAGGTGGGAGTCCCGTCGCGACCAGTCTTCCAATAAAGACCAAGCCTACTGGCTGCTGTTTTGCTGTGGGATTCCTGGCTGGTATCCTTGTTTTTCGTCCAAGGGAGCCCTCAGATTTCTCCGTTAACAGAACGAAACAGCAGGCAGCCATGTTGTTGCCAACAATAAATCCCTCTTTATTCAAAGATCTGCTCAGGACTGCCAGGCCCAATGAGCACAGCAATTGCGGTCCTGCCCCTATGAGGCAGTTGTGGGGGCTGAAGGTCCCTGTCTCCCCACAGCCATCAATGTCTCCTCCGCTCCAGAGTTTTCCCCAAGCAATCGGAGACTGCGCCTGCCTTCAGCCAACCTATCCTCTGCCCTTTCCATGCCTCTTCTGGTTCCTGGGGAGGCCAAGGGAGAGAGGAGCGGGTGCAGCAGGAGAGGGAGACATTATTATTATTTCTACTACTACTACTTTAATAATTATTATTTTATTATTTATACCCCACCCAACCAGCCGGGTCTCCCCAGCCACCCTGGGCGACTCCCAACAGAGGACTAAAAACAGAATAAAACTTCAAACATTAAAAACTTCCCTAAACACTACGCTTATGTTCTGCCTCCTCCTTCATGCAGTGCGTAGTTCGACTGCGGAACTCCCTGCCACAGGAGGCAGCGATGGCTGCCAGCTCGGGTGGCATCAGCAGAGGATCAGACAAGTTTGTGGGAGATACGGCTCTGCTCTGTCTCCGCGGTCGGAAGCAGCGATCCTTCTGAATGCCACTTCCTGGGGGGAGCGGGAGGGGAAGGTGGACCCCATGCTCACTCACCTGTCAGAAAGCCCAGGGTGAGATACAGCTGGAGTAAGCTGGTGCTGAAGGAAGCCCAGAAGACGCCCAGAGAGGAGAGGAGGCCGCCCAGCATGACCACCGGACGAGCTCCGAACCGCATGCTAGCAGCCGTGCCAACAGGACCTGGGTGGAAAACGGGTGGAAGATGGTTGCAAAGGGTTAGGGAAGCCTCTTGGGTGCTTATTTTTGGACTACAAGTCCCATCATCCTGAGTCAGTGTAACCGATTTTCATGGATGATGGGAGTTGTAGTCCGACAACTTTTGGGGACCCAAGGTTGAAGAACATTGCCTTTTGGCAATCTGGTGCCCTCCAGATTTTTTTTTTGGACTACAACTCCCATCATCCTGAGTCAGCGTAATAGATTTTCATGGATGATGGGAGTTGTAGTCCGACAACGTCTGGGGAGTCAAGGATGAAGAACAGTGCCTTTTGGCAATCTGGTGCCCTCCAGATTGTTTTGGACTACAACTCCCAACATCCTGAGTCAGCATAACCGATTTTTGTGGATAATGGGAGTTGTAGTCCGAGAACTTTTGGGGAGCCGAGGTTGAAGAATGTTGCCTTTTGGCAATCTGGTGCCCTCCAGATTATTATTTTTTTGGACTACAACTCCCATCATCCTGAGTCAGCGTAATAGATTTTCGTGGATGATGGGAGTTGTAGTCTGACAACGTCTGGGGAGCCAAGGATGAAGAACGTTGGCTTTTGACAATCTGATTAGTTCCCTGACATCTTCTAGAGATCCCCCCCCCCAACCTCACAGTTACGGGTTAGTTTGTTTGGTTTTATGTTAAACTGAAGGATTGAACCAAGGCAAGGATTGAACCCGTGGCGTTCTGCATGCAAATCAAACCCTGCCAAACCCTTCCCAGATTTGCTCTCAACCTCCGCCCCCTTTAATTTCATTATATTTAGAATATAATTAAAACATGACAGTGTAGGGATGTGAGATTAACAAGTAATGAGGAGCGCTGGGAGATTTTGTCCATTAGAAATAAGCTCTCATAGCATCCTAGAGTTGGGACCCCAAGAGTCATCTAGCCCCCCCCCCCTTGCAATGCAGGAATCTCAGATAAATGTGTTGCCTTCGCTCCGGAGGCAGACCAGCTGATTCACTCAAAAATGAAGAGAAACGGCTGCCCTTTTTGTCTGGACAGACTTTTAACGGCTTAATTATTTGCCATTTCGCCTATTTGAACCCTGCACAGTTTTTCAGTATTTTGAGTTGTCTTCCAATATGGTTAAAAGGTTTGTTGCTTGAAAAGTATATTATTCTGCAAGCGGCCGCGACATCGCCGACACAAAAACTGGGATCCGGAGCAAAGGCGTCAACAGGCGTGGCCTTCTGGGTGGTGGCCCCATCTGGAAAACTTACTAGCCAGCTGCTGGGTTGCCAAGGCGATGGCCGTCACCCAGGAGACCTGGGCAGCGCTGGCGTCGAAAGCCTCCACCAGTTCTTCAAAGAGGATACCCAGAGATCTCAAAACCCCGTAAGTGAGGGAGTTGGCCAGAAATCCCGAGAGGACGATCAACCAACCCCAGCCCCCATCCGGAGGGTTTTCCAGAGGCAGCGACATCTCTCAGGGTTGGATTCCTAGAAAAGTCGAAGGAGAGAAGAGAGCGTTTTTGCAAAACACGGCCATAACCCACTGCTCTTTATAACTTCCACAAGACAAGGCTGCACATGTTCAGTGGGAACGTTGTGGCAGGGAGCAGCCGCCATTTCCGGTGCTCCTCTGACCCGGAAGTGCGCCGGAAATAGCTTGTGCGCATGCGCAAGCGTTATTTGTGCATGTGCAAGCGTTATTTCTGCATGCGCAAGTATTATTTGCACACACACACAAGCATTATTTGCACACACACACAAGCGTTATTTGTGCATGCGCAAGCATTATTTGCGCGCACACACAAGCGTTATTTGTGCATGCGCAAGTGTTATTTGCACATGCACAAACGTTATTTGTGCATGCACAAGTGTTATTTCTGCTGCACATCCGGGTCGGAGGAGGCCCGTGCGCATGCGCACAAGCTATTTCCAGTGCTCCTCCAACCCAGAAGTGCACCGGAAATGTGTGCGCACACGTATGGGCACGCACTCCCCGCCCTCCGACCTGCCGTGCGATCAGCGCTGGAGACACTGGCCCAAGGCGTGGTAAGTTTGCTGACCCCTGATTTATAGCAATCAGGGCCGTCTTAACCATAGGCACCAGGGGTGCGGGGCACCCGGGCACCGGGCTCTCAGGGGCGCCAGGCTGAGAGTCCAGGGCCCGAGAGTTGGAGTCCAGAGAAGAGCCCGCCCGTTGGTCAGAGCGCCACAGCGGGCTATTTTACTGCGGGCAGCTCTGCACCGTGAGTTCGGGGATGAAGAAGAAGAAGAGTTTGGATTTGCTATCCCGCTTTATCACTACCCTAAGGAGTCTCAAAGCGGCTAACATTCTCCTTTCCCTTCCTCCCCCACAACAAACACTCTGTGAGGTGAGTGGGGCTGAGAGACTTCAGAGAAGTGTGACTAGCCCAAGGTCACCCAGCAGCTGCATGTGGAGGAGTGGAGACGCGAACTCGGTTCACCAGATTACGAATCTACCGCTCTTAACCACTACACCACACTGGCTCTCCAGGGTGAGCGAGCTAGCAAGGCCAGATGTGGCCAACTGGCTCTGCCCTCTACCTCTGGGATTGGCATAGGGCCCAGCGCACGCTGCTTACACCACGAGGCGCCCAGCTTTGCTCAGACGCTGATGCCGATGCCTCGCGCTGGTTTGCTGCGCTGGGCTCCTTATGTCTCTTGTTTTCTTTTCCTGAGCAGAGATAAGCGTGGTGTCAGCTCCTTAAAAAAGGTTAACAACTTTGGGGTTCCTCGGACACTGAGGCCCTTGGAGCTGGACCACAGTGTCTGACCTGAACGACGGGGGTGGAGACATTCCTTCAGGTCTACTGGGCCTTTGAGGCCGTTTAGGGCTTTCAAGGTGAGCACCAACACTTTGAATTGTGCTCGGAAACATACTGGGAGCCAGTGTAGGTCTTTCAAGACCGGTGTTATGTGGTCTCGGCGGCCGCTCCCAGTCACCAGTCTGGCTGCCACATTCTGGATTAGTTGTAGTTTCTGGGTCACCTTCAAAGGTCGCCCCACATAGAGCGCATGGCAGTAGTCCATGCAGGAGATAACCAGAGCATGCGCCACTCTGGCAAGACAGTCTGTGGGCAGGGAGGGTCTCATCCTGTGTACCAGATGGAGCTGGTAAACAGCTGCCCTGGACACAGAATTGACCTGCGTCTCCATGGACAGCGGTGAGTCCAGAATGACTCCCAGGCTGCGCACCTGGTCCTTCGGGGGCACAGTTGCCCCATTCAGGACCACAGAGTCCCGCACACCTACCCACCTCCTGTCCCCCCAAAACAGTACTTCAGTCTTGTCAGGATTCAACCTCAATCCATTAGCCGCCATCCATCCTCCAACCGCCTCCAGGCACTCACACAGGACCTTCACCGCCTTCGCTGGTTCTGATTTAAAAGAGAGGTAGAGCTGGGTGTCACCCGCATATTGATGGACACCCAGCCCAAACCCCCTGATGATCTCTCCCAGCGGCTTAATATAGATGTTGAAAAGCATGGGGGAGAGGACAGAACCCTGAGTCTCATCTTGGCCAGCAGCAACGCATCAGGAGCTGGGTGCGCCCCCTGCTGGAAGGAGCTGGCGAGGCAGGGAGTCTGCCCCCCCCCCAAAAAAACGCCCACCTGGTTAAATTCTCCAAACCAGCGTTTCCCACGGCGCAGGTGGGTCGCGCAGGCTTCGCACGGGAGCCTCATAAATTCCCCTGTGATCAGGCGGCGTGCTTGCATTCGCGTGAGCAAAATCTCGGATAGGGGCTTTGAAAGTACTATAAATATTTCACCAAATGGCACATTAAATAGGGACGCTTCGCTCGGCTGCCCCGAGTAATGGGCACAAAACAAGCCAACTTGCAGTTCGGAGGCACGAAATCGGTGGCTGCCAAGAAAGCGGAGAGGTCCAGAATTCATGGGGCAATAAATTGATGGGTCAACAAATCAAAGGATTTCCATAGAGCAAAAAACCTGGGAAACATAGATCTATATGCTGCGCACAGCACCCAGCGTGGCCACAATTATCCTATATAGCAGGTGTTCCCAAAGTAAGAGAGGGTGGGCGCAGGAGATGCAAATGACTATCCAGCTTTGAAAAGTTGGCATCATTGGACCACGTTCATCCCTTTTGTGGAATGGAAATAAATAGTTTTAACGGGACTTGGAATAAATGCGCAATTCATTGTTTAGGTTTGGGATTTTTGCTGTGCCGTTCTCTTCCTTAAGAGGGTCGTGCAAACTGATAGTCCGAACAGCGCTTTTTACAGGGGAGGGGGCGCTGGAAAGGAATTTATGGCACCAAGTTGCGGGGGGGGGCGCGCGCGCAAAAAGTGTGGGGCCCTCTGAGGTATAGTATCATGGCGACTCCCCAATCAAAACCTGCATTTGTCAAAATAAACACACACACACACCCCATGGTCTAAAGCCAAATACTCCCCCCCCCAAAAAAAGCTGCTCACTGATTATACAAGGCAGTGCTTAAATCTTTAATCCGGAGACTCAAGGGGCAGTTTGGAACTGGTTGGTTCAGCTGTATTGTAACCCAACTCTCCTGGGAAACCTCCTTTTTTTGGTGGGGGGGGGAGATGATTTGTGACGGCTGAGAAGAGAGAAGCCTTCTGGGCTGCATAAACTGGGGGGGGGGACAAATCTCAGGACAGGGAAATGAGCAAGGGAGAGAATGTAAAGTTTGGTAGGGGGTCGCCAGGACGCAGAAGAGGGGGAACCCACGAGGGGTTTTGCAACCAAGAAGGGAGTGGGTGGGATGCAAGACCCCCCCCATTTTAACAGGGACCGAAGGGGGGGGTCTCCATAATATAAAATGGAAACTTTTGAAGACCCCCCTCCCCCAAACTGGTGGGATTTTTGTGGGGCGTATTCTGCAATGTGTCATATCGGTGCGATAACAGCGCATTAGAGATGGATTCATACTGGTCGGCCCACACGTAATTATTGGGCTTGGGGGGGGTCACTCTTATCCTATAAGATAAGCAAAAGTGGGACACCGCCTCCACCCCCTTCTCGGAACATTTGCGGTGTGGAAAGTTGCAGGATACCCGCAGAAAGACCAGCACCGATTGGAAATGAAGTTTTGTTCGCGCTGAAAGTTTTGGAAACAGTGCCCAAAGCGGAATTTACGTATAACCACCCCGATAGCATCATGAACGCAGATTTTTTTTTCTTTAAGGACGTCTGGAGGGGCCCTGAAATTATGGGCTGGGGCTGGAGGGGGTGTCATGAACCAGGCACTAATGGAAGCTCCCCTCTCCATCACACCTGAGATCTTTGCTGGTTTCCTGATCCTACCCCACCCCATCCCGTCCTCCTTATTTTACCTGCGACAGGTGAGAGAGGATGCTGTGGGAAGGAGCCTCGTCCTCTGCGGCAACGGCCAGCTTCAGAGGTCTCCTGAGCCGTGAGAAGGTTCCCCCTCTTTTCCCCATGGAGAAGCTGGGACGGTCGCCTTTTAAAAGGTGCCAGACGGATGGGCATGACTCTGGATGGAGGCGAAGGCGGATCCTGTTCCCGCCCCGCAAGGGAGTTGGTTGCTGCCTTGCGGTTGCCAAACAAAGAGACTCCTAAGCATTTCTCAGCTGCCCAAGAGGCAGGCTTCTCTCTCGCCTTGCAATCCCGTGTCCTGCGGGGAGGCTGCACCTGTTGGACGCCGGCCTGTTGCTTCGCAGGAAAAGGCACAAAGCTACCGTCCATTTCTGTTATAATAATAATAATAATAATAATAATAATAATAATAATAATAATAATACTTTTCAGGTTTATACTGGCCAGTAGACCTGAAGGAGCGTCTCCACCCCCATCGTTCTGCCCGGACACTGAGGTCCAGCTCCGAGGGCCTTCTGGCGGTTCCCTCCCTGCATAGCTGTCAACTTTTCCCTTTTATTGTGAGGAATCCTATTCGGAATAAGGGAATTTTCCTTAAAAAAGGGAAACGTTGACAGCTATGCCTCCCTGCAAGAAGTGAGGTTACAGGGAACCAGGCAGAGGGTCTTCTTGGTGGTGGCGCCCACCCTGTGGAATGCCCTCCCAGCAGACGTCAAAGAAATAAACAATTATATGAATTTTCGCAAACATCTGAAGGCAGCCCTGTATCGGGAGGTTTTTAACGTTTGATGTTTTGAATGTTCTGTCGAAAGCCGCCCAGAGTGGCTGGGGAAACCCAGCCAGATGGGCGGGGTAGAAATAAAATTACTATCATCATCATCATCATTCATTTCATTAATTTTGCAATCATTTTAACCTTTGAAAACTTGACTTCCATCCCCCTCTTTCTGCGCTTCCTTAAATTTATTTTTAATATCTTCCACATTTCCAAATTCAATTAATTTGCTTCTTTATTTTATTTATATACTCTTATTAAGGACGTGGGTGGCGCTGTCGGTAAAAGCCTCAGCGCCTAGGGCTTGCCGATCGAAAGGTCGGCGGTTCGAATCCCCGTGGCGGGGTGCGCTCCCGTCATTCGGTCCCAGCGCCTGCCAACCTAGCAGTTCGAAAGCACTCCTGGGTGCAAGTAGATAAATAGGGACCGCTTACTAGCGGGAAGGTAAACGGCGTTTCCGTGTGCGGCTCTGGCTCGCCAGATGCAGCTTTGTCACGCTGGCCACGTGACCCGGAAGTGTCTCTGGACAGCGCTGGCCCCCGGCCTCTTGAGTGAGATGGGCGCACAACCCCAGAGTCTGTCAAGACTGGCCCGTACGGGCAGGGGTACCTTTACCTTTACCTTTACTCTTATTAAACTGCAGGTTGTTACAGTAATGCTGCCAATGTTCTTATCTGTTTACAATTTATCTGTAAATATTCAATAAAGCATTTGCATGCTGTTATATAGTGTTATCTGAAGAAGTGTGCATGCACACGAAAGCTCATACCAAGAACATACTTAGTTGGTCTCTAAGGTCAGTGCTACTGGACATTTTTTTATTTATTTTGACTGCATCAGACCAACACGGCGACCTACCTGAGCCCTTATTATACAGAGTCAGACCACTGGTTGGTTTGCAGAATAACAGGGTATTAAATGTTTTAGAGAGGACATTCCTCTCCTGAATGCTGTCCTCTACTGCACATGCCCAGGTTTTATCCAAATACAGTGGTACCTTGGTTCTCAAACTTAATCCGTTCCGGAAGTCCATTCCGAAACCAAAGCGTTCCAAAACCAAGGCGCGCTTTCCCATAGAAAGTAATGCAAAACGGATTAATCTGTTCCAGACTTTTAAAAACAACCTCTAAAAGAGCAATTTCACATGAATTTTACTATCTAACAAGACCATTGATCCATAAAATGAAAGCAATAAGCAATGTACAGTACTGCAGTCACACAACCAATCAATCAGTAGCTGGACTGGGTTCCACACAGTCACAAGAACAAAATGAAAAAGAGCTGCAAAGACAAAAACAGAAAATAAATAGCAAAAACAAACAAACCTCAGAACACTCAAATCGGAAGCATAACACTCAAAACGGAACACGTTCGGCTTCTGAAAAATGTTTGCAAACTGGAACACTTACTTCCAGGTTTGCTATGTTTGAGTTCCAAGTTGTTTGAGTGCCAAGGTACCACTGTACTAGCTGTACTCAGAGCAGACCCTTTGCAGTAATGGGCATGTCTAAGATAGGTCTATCGATTTCAATGGGTCTACTCTGAGTAGGACAAAGTTGGATTACCCCCTCCCCCTTTAACAGCACCTGGTCAGCAGGTTGAACGGGCACACAGGTCACCTGGTGCCTTTCTGCTCTAGATCATAGAATTGTAGAGTTGGGATCCCCAAAGGTCATCCAGCCCAACCCCTTCAATGCAGGAATCTCAGCTAAAGCTTCCCTGACAGACGGCCATCCAACCTCTGCTTTAAAAACCTCCAAGGAAGGAGAGCTTACCACCTTCTGATATTATTATTATTATTATTTACAGAAGGACATAATAATTTATTACTTATACTCCACCCATCTGACCGGGCTGCCTCAGCCACTCTGGCCAGCTTCCAACAGAATATAAAAGAAAACAGCAAAACATCAGACATGAAAAACTTCCTGATACAGGGCAGCCTTCAGAAAGACGTAGAAACTGCCTTTCAATTCTATGTCTGTATCCGGGTGTGTATGTGTGTATCCGGGTGTGTCTGTATCCGGGTGTGTATGTGTGTATTTTTGTGTGTGTTATCAGGCACCATCCCCCAAAGCAGAGGGTCTCTCCAAAGCCCTACCTCATGGGTAGGCAAACTAAGGCCCGGGGGCCGGATCCGGCCCAATCACCTTCCCAATCCTGCCTGTGGACGGTCCAGGAATCAGTGTGTTTTTACATGAGCAGAATGTGCCCTTTTATTTAAAATGCATCTCTAGGTTATTTGTGGGGCCTGCCTGGTGGCGCTGTGGGTTAAACCACAGAGCCTAAGGATTGCCGATCAGAAGGTCGGCGGTTCGAATCCCCGCAATGACGGGGTGAGCTCCCGTTGCTCGGTCCCTGCTCCTGCCAACCTAGCAGTTCGAAAGCATGAAGTGCATGTAGATAAATAGGTACCGCTCCGGCGGGAAGGTAAACGGTGTTTCTGTGCACTGCTCTGGTTCGCCAGAAGCAGCTTAGTCATGCTGGCCACAGGACCCGGAAGCTGTACGCCGGCTCCCTCGGCCAATAAAGCGAGATGGGCGCCGCAACCCCAGAGTCGGCCATGACTGGACCTAATGCTCAGGGGTCCCTTTACCTTTACCTGGTGTTTTTACATGAGTAGAATGTGTCCTTTTATTTAAAATGCATTTCTGGGTTATTTGTGCAGCATAGGAATTCGTTCATATTTTTCCCCCAAAATATAGTCCGGCCCCCCACAAGGTCTGAGGGAAAGTGGATCGGCCCCCTGCTGAAAAGGTTTGCTGACCCCTGCACCTGGCTATGCCATCAGGGATTGTAATAATAATTGTGGGAGAAGCAGAACCTACAGGGTTAAGAGGTTCTGTGTGTGACGCCTTGCATCATGAGGCGTGGTCACAGACACTTACGGGAGTGGTTTGCTCTGAGTGAGTCAGTCTGCCTCTGGTACGCTATGCGAGAGGGAGGAGGATGGGCGAGGTTTCGCCAGGTCTGATTTATGTTGTTATTCTACTTGATTAAAGGCTAAGAAGATAAGGAAAGCCTTGTGTCTGCTTTGAGTTATTGCCTACACGCTGCAATTTGCTTCTAACTGCTGTATTGCTCTGCTACCGGCTGAAGAGGCAGAGGACTTTTGGAGCGGCACGGAGAGTAAGCAGAGCTGCGCAATGGAAGTGTGCCGGACGCCATGATGATTGGCCTATCTCGTGACTTTTGGCCTCTTAGCCGTCATAGGTTATGGGTGTTTGCCAACGCTGTGAAGTCTTTGCAGCAACGTCCCACGTGTGGGGATGCCAGCAAGCCGGCTGAAAGGTTGCTGGGATAAGCTGGAGCCCTGGAGCTTTCTTTGAAGCTGAGAGGGGCTCGCTGGGAAGGAGGAGCCGATCTGCCGGGAGGCCGGAGGAAGGTGCTGCCAGTCGTGAGTACGCTTACCCCGGGGGAGGAGATGGCTCAGTCCCAGGAACATGGCTTTGAGCTTAAGCTGCCATGTGCGAAGCTGACCAGCCAAACGTGGCTGGAGTGGAGTTATTTAGCAGAGCTGTCCTTAGTTGGAGCCAGGCTCTGGGAAATGATCCAACCACCAGCTGGGGCGGTTGCAGACCAACGTGAAGCTGAGAAGCGTGTGCTTACGTTTCTGGCTGAGAACGTGGCTGATGATCTGAAGTCTATTGTTCTGGGTGCCAGGAAGCCAGAGGCCGCTTGGCTAGCGCTCCAGGAAGCCTGTGAGGCTGGAGGCGGAAGCAAGGGCCGGGAGATGGCTGCATCAGAAGAGGAAAGGCAAGATGGCGCTGACCACCTTCGTGAGAGCCGGTGCACAGCTGGGAAAGGGCTGTGGGGCCCCAGAGGGGGGCGAAGGGACTATTGCCACTGCTGCTGTTGCTGCCAGTTTGGCAGAGTCTAAAAGCTGCGTGGGTGCGGCAACGTGTCTGCGTGAGGAGCCGGGAAAGCGGCAAGCTGCTGGGAGCCCTTTACCCACCAGAAGGGGTGCAGGAAAGTGTCCTGGGAGCCCTGTGAGAAGTGGGGGGGGGGCGGTGAGCAGTAAAAGCTCAGAGAAGCCTCTTTTTCCAAAGGCTGCCAAGAGTTGTTTGCGTCGCAAGCAGAAGCCTGAGAAGCCGGATAGAGCTGAAGGCTTCAAGGCCAGCCACCTGCTGCAGAGGGAGATAAGTGCTGCAGAGCTGTCTGGGAACGCTGAGATAAGTCCAGTCTTCAGGGCAACTGAAAGGGTTGCGGTCACGGATGCTGCCAAGGACAGGAGCAGAAAGACGTTTGTTGCCATGGCAACGCTGAAAAACAACTCCAGCAGGGACACAGCTGGGCAGTGGGTGGTGGATTCAGGAGCCAGTCGTCACTTGGCGCCACCTACTGGGGGGCTGCGGAATTGCAGGGCTGTTTCAGCTGGAACGACTGTTACGTTCGCAGATGGGACACGAAAATCAGTTTCTGCTGTTGCTAACATATATCTGCCCTTTTTTCAGGAGGAGCTAGAGGTCTACGTTGTGCCGGAAATGCATTGTTGCCTGTTATCTGTACCTGCTCTTGTGAAGCAGGGATACAAAGTTTGCTTTGAAAATGATGCCTGTTCTATTTTCAGAGGGGGGAGACAACATGGAAAGCAAGAACAATCTCTTTGTTCTGGAAACACCTCTGGAGGGTGGTGGGAATGCCGGAAAAGCACAGGCGCAGTGTGCTAAGGTTCCCAGTCATGATTCATGTGTTCATGTATGGCACAAGAGAATGTCCCATGCTTGTTTGGAGGATGTTAAGAGGTTGCCCAGCTGCACCAAAGGTTGTAAAATCACACCATGTGAGGGATCCCTAGAGTGCAGGGCATGCAAAAGGGTTCAAAGGTGCAGTTTTCCCGGGATAAAGAGGGTAACCACAAAACCTTTTGAGCTGGTTCACACAGACCTTGCAGGACCCATGAAGTGTGAGAGTCTGGGTGGGGCCAGGTATTTGCTGACGCTGACAGATGACTACAGCCAGGTTGGCTGGTGTTTCTCTCTCAAATCACAGGGGGAGGCGGCGCAACTGATCCAGGATTGGGTTGCGGAGGTGGAACTAAGGTTCTCCGCCAAGGTGCAAGGGTTCAGGAGCGACCGAGGGTCACAGTTTACTGGGTCTGCTCTGAAGGAGTTTTTCAAGGAAAAGGGAATACGTCACCAGGTGACGGGTGCAAAGTCTCCTCAAGAGAGAGGCGTGGCAGAGCACAGGAGTGAAACACTGGCTGAAGCTGTCTGGGTTTTGCTGTGTGACTCTGGGCTGCCTCAGAGCTTTTGGAGTGAAGCTTGGAAATTTGCCAGCTTTGTTTTAAACAGGTCCTACAATCACGCTGTAGGGAACACACCGTTTTTCCTGTTGCACAAGCAAAAGCCACAGGTGCATTTCTTCCGTTCGTTTGGTTCAAGGGCTTCAGTGCCAATACCAACAGCACAACGGAAGGAGGGTGGTCCAAGGTACCAGGACATGATCTTCTGTGGGTATGATCCTGCAACAAATGGGTGGAAGTTTGCATACCCAGAGGGTGATCAGACCAAGCTGCTGGTCAGCAAGCATGCTGAGTTCTGTGAGCAGGGTGGTTGGTCACGGCCTAGGGATGGTCCTGATTTTCTCTCAGAATGTCTGTCTGATTCTGAGGAGGAAAGGGAGCCAGAGGCAGAACCCGGTGATGGGGACCAGGTCCAGGATCAGGGTTCAGGGCAGGTTTGGGCGTCTCCAAGAGTTGTTAAAGGAGTGTCCAAGAGCGAGCCTTCATCTCCTGTTAGCATAATGGAGAAAGCTCACAGACGGGTCGTCAAGTCAGAGGGGGAGGAGTCTGACGGAGAAGACACACTTGCTGGCCCCAATGGGTCAGAGGGAAGTTCAGATGGAGCACCCCAGTTTGTGCCCAGGCGTTCATCTCGGACAACAAAGGGTGTTCCACCTGAGAGGTTTCAGGTCACCAGTGCGTGGGTTGGTTTCGCACAGTGTGATTCTGGGAGTGTTGAAGGGGTTCAACAGGTGCCTGGGAAAGATGCCAGGAAAAGGCAAAAGGCAATGGGGAAGGTGTTGAACTCAAAGAGGTCTGTAAAGAGGTGTGCACAGGTCCCCTCAGGATGCAAAACGAGAGGGGGTGTGGGAGAAGCAGAACCTACAGGGTTAAGAGGTTCTGTGTGTGACGCCTTGCATCATGAGGCGTGGTCACAGACACTTACGGGAGTGGTTTGCTCTGAGTGAGTCAGTCTGCCTCTGGTACGCTATGCGAGAGGGAGGAGGATGGGCGAGGTTTCGCCAGGTCTGATTTATGTTGTTATTCTACTTGATTAAAGGCTAAGAAGATAAGGAAAGCCTTGTGTCTGCTTTGAGTTATTGCCTACACGCTGCAATTTGCTTCTAACTGCTGTATTGCTCTGCTACCGGCTGAAGAGGCAGAGGACTTTTGGAGCGGCACGGAGAGTAAGCAGAGCTGCGCAATGGAAGTGTGCCGGACGCCATGATGATTGGCCTATCTCGTGACTTTTGGCCTCTTAGCCGCCATAATAATAATAATAATAATAATAATAATAATAATAATAATAATAATTATTATTATTATTTATTATTTATACCCCGCCCATCTGGCTGAGTTTCCCCAGCCACTCTGGGCGGCTCCCAATCAGTGTTAAAAACAGTACAGCGTTACATATTAAAAACTTCCCTGAACAGGGCTGTCTTCAGATGTCTTCTGAATGTCAGGTAATTATTTATCTCTTTGACATCTGAAGGGAGGGCGTTCCACTGGGCGGGCGCCACCACCGAGAAGGCCCTCTGCCTGGTTCCCTGTAGCCTCACTTCTCGCAATGGGGGAACCGCCAGAAGGCCCTCGGAGCTGGACCTCAGTGTCTGGCTGAGCAATGGGGGTGGAGACGCTCCTTCAGGTATACAGGACCGAGGCCGTTTTGTCCTGCATGTAAAACACTCGGCTACCACCTTTCCCCTCGCTTCCTGGGGGACACGGCCCGCTCTGCAGGGCTCTTGTGAGGATAACAAAATAGGGTTCTGCCCTGTGTGTGCCACCCCAAATTCTTGGAGAAAAGGATGGGATACCAAGTGAATGAACGCCAGAGTCAGCATACAGCTCCCTCCTTTACACACCTGAGATCAGGACAATTTATTTGGGGCAATGTAAACTTTGGAAAAAAAGATGCCTGCTTCCTGGAGAAAAAGCAATGACAAACCTAGACAGCATCTTAAAAAGCAGAGACATCACCCTGACAACAAAGGTCCATATAATTAAAGCTATGGTTTTCCCAGTAGTGATGTATGGAAGTGAGAGCTGGACCATAAAGAAGGCTGATCGCCGAAGAATGGATGCTTTTGAATGATGGTGCTGGAGGAGACTCTTGAGAGTCCCATGGACTGCAAGAAGATCCAACCTCTCCATTCTGAAGGAAATCAGCCCTGAGTGCTCACTGGAAGGACAGATCCTGAAGCTGAGGCGCCAAGACTTTGGCCACCTCATGAGAAGAGGAGACTCCCTGGAAAAGACCCTGATGTTGGGAAAGATGGAGGGCACAAGGAGAAGGGGACGACGGAGGACGAGATGGTGGGACAGTGTTCTCGAAGCTACCAGCATGAGTTTGACCAAACTGCGGGAGGCAGTGGAAGACAGGAGTGCCTGGTGTGCTCTGGTCCAGGGGGTCACGAAGAGGCGGACACAACTAAACGACTAAACAACAACAACGCAAACTTTGGAACTCCCTACCTATTTATATCAGACAAGGGCCTTCACGGTTCTCTTTTCGACACCTGCTAAAAACATTCTTGCTTAAGGACACCTGCCCGTGATGGTTAGAAGGTTGGTGTGAGTTGCAATCTATTTTTAGTTTGTCGTGATTTTAACTTTTCGCAAGTTTGACGGTTTTGCTGTTCACAAAACCATCAGTAAGGAAAATGTCTTTATTTGTTTTGCAAATCACCTTGGGGCTTCCCCACCCCCCAGCACTCAAGCGGTGTATAGATTTTATGAAATAAATAAACCACAGTCCTTTGAAAAACAAACAAGAACACACTCACACACAGAGGCAGAAAATTAAAACACGGAAAAGACCACACTGGTTGCCTTTGGCTTGGTCATTTGGGGTGGTTTGGCCAGAGATGCGAGTTTATTTAAAATGTCCACACCGCAATTTAAATTAAAAGAAAAAGAAAGTTCCGTTTACGATCTGCTAATTACGCACGAAATAAACGTGGGCAAACCTTGAGGCAGGTCTGCTCTTTCTGCAAAATTAGATTTCAACCTCAGGAAAAAAACACCGAGAATTTCAACGCATACAGAGATGAAACACACCATTTCCCAAATTCCAGACAGCTGTGTTTAATCTGTGCCTCTTCCTACACAATCTTTCCTTGACCCCAAATCCCTTTGCTCCCTCAAGGAGTATCTCCCTTTTCAAGGCCTAGGGAAGAAAATAGAATAACTGTAATCTGGTTTTGAAGAGGTGGCAGGAGAAATAATCCGTAATGTTATCTCTGTGTCCATCAAGGGCCAAGAAGGTGGTACAGCTTTTTATGTCCTCGTCCGTCAGCAATAAATAAAAGACAGGAGTTGTGGAGGGCAGAGTAAGCAGGGGAGATCGGTTCTTCGTTTCCCACAATCTTCCATGAAAACCTTTTCTTTTGGTCCGACTCCACAAAGTCACCAAAAACATTTTGGGGGCTGCTGAAGGGAGAGACGGGCTTCTACTGGACGGTCCTTTTGTTTCCGACTCAAGTGTCACACCAGGAATTTGAAGGTGACTTAAGGCCTCTTGCTCCTCTCTCCCTCCTCCTTTCGGCGGATGGGGGCCAAGTTCACATCGTCGTCAGCTTCAGATCGTAGCTCCGACGGGTCAACTTCTCCGGATCGTTGGACGCCATGAGGGAGAAATCTTGGAAGATGTCGAGGTATGTTTCGTCTCCTGGAAGAGTGGGGAAGAATCAGGAAATAATAATAATAATAATAATAATAATAATAATAATAATAATAATAATAATAATAATACATTTCATTTATACCCCGCCCTCCCCAGCCAAGACCAGGCTCGGGGGGGCTAACACCAGATATAAAACAATTGATTAAGATACAACTTAAAAACAGGATTAAAATACAACATTAAAATGAAGCCTCATTTCAATAGAAACGCAAATCCGATAATAATTTATTACAGTGGTACCTCGGGTTAAGTACTTAATTCGTTCCGGAGGTCCGTACTTAACCTGAAACTGTTCTTAACCTGAGGTACCACTTTAGCTAATGGGGCCTCCTGCTGCTGCCGCACCGCCAGAGCACGATTTCTGTTCTCATCCTGAAGCAAAGTTCTTAACCTGAAACACTATTTCTGGGTTAGACGAGGCTGTAACCTGAAGCGTATGTAACCTGAGGTACCACTGTACTTATACCCAGCCCATCTGGCTGGGTTTTCCCAGCCACACTGGGTGGCTTCCAACTAAAGATTAAATATATATTAAAACTTCAGTCATTAAAAACGTCCCTAAACAGGGCTGCCTTCAGATGTCTTCTAAACATCAGTAGTTGTTTATTTCCTTGACATCTGGTGGGAGGGCGTTCCACAGGGTGGGCGCCACCACCGAGAAGGCCCTCTGCCTGGTTCCCTGTAACCTCGCTTCTCGCAGGGAGGGAACTGCCAGAAGGCCTTTGGAGCTGGACCTCAGTGTCCGGGCCGAACGATGGGGGTGGAGACGCTCCTTCAGGTCTACTGGGCCTTTGAGGCCGTTTAGGGCTTTCAAGGTCAGCACCAACACTTTGAATTGTGCTCGGAAACATATTGGGAGCCAATGGAGGTCTTTCTGGACCAGTGTTATGTGGTCTTGGCGGCCGCTTCCAGTCACCAGTTTAGCTGCCGCATTCTGGATTATAGTTTCCGGGTCACCTTCAAAGGTAGCCCCACGTAGAGCACATTGCAGTAGTCCAAGCAGGAGATAACCAGAGCATGCACCACTCTGGCGAGACAGTCTGCGGGCAGGGAGGGTCTCATCCTGCGTACCAGATGGAGCTGGTAGACAGCTGCCCTGGACACAGAACTGACCTGCGCCTCCATGGACAGCAGTGAGTCCAAAATGACTCCCAGGCTGCACACCTGGTCCTTCAGGGGCACAGTTGCCCCATTCAGGACCAGGGAGGGAGACCCCAAAGCTCATCTACTCCAACCCGCTCCAATACAAGGACCGCAGCTAGGAGTCTGCAAGGCCCCGGCCAGGGAGCATTGGAAATCTGTTTGCGTCTTGCAAGGAAAGACCCCAGATCGCCGTCTCAGCCTTCCCTGAACCGCACCAGCCACTTTATGGTATTGAATCAGGATTCGCACCCACAGCCCCAACATCTACTGGTCATGGTGGGGTAATGTCTGCCAAGGAACTAATGGGATACCAAAAGAAGGCGAATGGTGGCAGATCCAGGACAGATAAAAGACAGCGCTTCTTCACGCAGCGCTTCGTTAACCTGCGGAACTCCCTCCCACAGGAATTTGCTGGACAAAATGTCCAGAGCTGGTTCTCTTCAATCTTTTCACAAGAGACAATATTAACTTACAGCTTAAACCTTCAATTAAGTTCTTTCGTACTTAGCAGCCAGGCTCAAAATAATAGCGAGATCTTGGAAGCACTGAGAGGTGTGTGTGCGTGCGTCAGAGTGTGTGTTCTCTGACAAATCAGTACAGCAAAATCTGGCCAAACTGTCCTGGTTGAATAACAAGTAATAAAAGAAAATTGGCTCAAGCCTTGAGGTACAAAGGCTCCATGGCGCAGGTTGGCTTAAAAAACTTAAAACAGGGAACTCTCCTCACATTATAGAACCTTTGGGTTAACTTGAGCTGTTTATTGCCTTCTGTAAAAATACAGTGGTGCCTCGCTAGACGAAAAGAATCTGTTCCGCGATTCTCTTCGTCTAGCAGTTTTTTCGTCTTGCGAAGCAAGCCCATTGACAGCTTAGCGGATTAGCGCTACAGCGGTCTAGCGGCTTTTCGCGATCAGCTGTTAAGCGGCTTATCAGCGGAACAGCTGATAAGCGGCTTAGCGTCTTAGGAAAAGGGGGGGAAGCGGAAAAAACCCACGGGGACGCGCAAGATTTTTTCGTCTTGCGAAGCAACCCCATAGGGAAATTCGTTATGCGAAGCGCCTCCAAAACGGAAAACCCTTTCGTCTAGCGGGTTTTCCATCTTGCAAGGCGTTCGTCTTGAGGGGCACCACTGTAGCAGCCTGGGATAAAAACTTATTATTGTGTAAAATCGTCAAGTTGGAAGGGATCGCGGGGGTCATCTAGCCTGACCCCCTCCAAGGCAGGAATATTTTTGTCCTACGTGGGCTTCGAACCCACAACCCTGAAATTCAGAGCCTCGTGCTTAGCCGACTAAGCCATCTCAGTTATTTGGTTGTTAATTTTGCACCTGTTGCCTAAACACCAGCTTCTGGGTTTTGCTACTTATCTCTAATTAATTTTTAGCAGTTGTTATGTCCGGGTGTGTAAACAGCAAACACTCATCGCTTATTTGTCCACCTGTTAGCCATCATTGCCAGATTGTTCCCATTTTACAGATGGAGCAACTGAGGACCGAGAGCGTATGGGAAACTGATTCCGGAAGATTTTCAAGGAGATAGAGCGAATTCTGATGTGGAATTGTGTTCCCACCCCCCCACAGGTGAGACTCACCTGACTGGCCGAGGGCAAGCTCAGATTCACGCATCTTGGCCAATCGCAATCTTTGAAAGAGGGAAGGTGGGTGGGAAGAGAAAAAGAGTCACATGACACAACAGAAAAAAAATGAATTTCAGCCCTTTCTCCCCCCCCCCATCTTACCTCAATCCTCTTCCAGACACAGACCCAATCGTTCCATTTATTTTGTTAATTATATATTTCGTAACATTTATTGGTTGTAAAAAAAAACCCAACAACCTTAAAGCAGTTTAGAAAAAGAATAAAATTACCGGTAAAAGCAATTTAAGAACAGCTATTAAAAACGTTGTAAGAACAATCGACGAGAAGCTGAAACCAGATATGGGCTGGATCTACACAGCTGTAAAAAAACGCTATGGGAAAAACGTTGTAAAAGCTGACAATGGAAATGATAATCGACTTCTAATTGCAGCCCAACAGCGCCATCTGGTGCCACAGTGTTATAACACATTTATAGACCCAAAGGCCAAGATTCAAGATGGCCGACGTCCTGCCAACTTCCTCCCAGAATCCCTCTCTTCCCCTCCAACCTCTGAAGAGCTGCAGAATTCACACCCAAGACCTCATGATGGGGGGGGGATTATTTGGCACCCAAGGGAGACGGGGGCGGGTGGGGGGTGGAGAATCTCCCTTACAAGGTGACGATATCCGCGTTGGCCGAATCTATGGCGATGCTGAGAGGGTCCTTCCCTTCCCCATCGACGGCGTTCATGTTGGCCCCGCGCTTGAGGAAGAGGCAGGCCAGTCTAGGAAACGGAACAGGGAAGACACATATTCAATATTTCCACATGACAAGGATCTCTCACAGCCTCATACATAAATAGATAATTATGCGCTATCAGCAAAATCCCTTTACAATATAAAGGTTATTTGTTCCCAGTGCCTGGAACGAATTAATTCACACCAACCAGTTCACTGAACCAATTGTCCATAAGCTCAGTCGGTAGAGCACAAGGGTTGTGGGTTCGAATCCCACTTTGGGTGAAAGATTGGAAGTTGGACTCCAATCTGGGCGGCTTCCAGAAGAATATTGAAACACAACGATTCAACCATCGATAGCCTGGTTCTCCCCCTGAAGTCTCCCTTCTCCCCCTTCCCGCGGCCGCTTGCCTGTCTTAGGGAAATTTCGGGCTTCTTCCACACCTGCCTGCCTGCCCGCCCTTCTGTTGCCATGCTGGAGTTGGCGCTGGCTGCAGCGAACTGCAACGTGACGACAGCCTTCCATTTCTATGCATATAGGAAGATATATGTATAGAGATATATAATAGGTATCTACCCGGTGTGTCCCAAGATGGTAGCATGATGAAGGGGGCCTCGGCCTCTGCTGTCTGGCTGGTTGACGCTGGCTCCGTTTTGAAGCAGGAATTCGCAGGCCAAGAGAGAATTCTGGGTAGAGAGAGAGAGAGAGAGAGAAAGAAGGTGAAGTGGGGAAATGAGGGAAGTGGGTTGGCGTTTGAGAGCATCAAGAGTTCTGAGCCCCACAGAAAAAATAAAGAACAAACCCAAACAGGAATTCATCTCAAAATAGGAAGTCTTTCAAGTCTTTTCGAAAAACAATTCCAGCAGTTTAAACTCTGTTGCAGCATTTGAATAACTTTAGTAGTAGATTTAAGGAAGATCTGAAAGCTTAGATAAATCAATAATTAGTTAATTTAAGACAAAAATGTTGGCAGATGAAGATGATGGATTTTTCGGAGATACCCGACCTGATTGGAAGAATCATAGAATCATAGAGTTGGAATAGACCCCAAGGGCCATCGAGTCCAACCCCCTGCCAAGCAGGAAACACCATCAGAGCACTCCTGACATATGGTTGTCAAGCCTCTGCTTAAAGACCTCCAAAGAAGGAGACTCCACCACACTCCTTGGCAGCAAATTCCACTGTCGAACAGCTCTTACTGTCAGGAAGTTCTTCCTAATGTTTAGGTGGAATCTTCTTTCTTGTAGTTTGGATCCATTGCTCCGTGTCCGCTTCTCTGGAGCAGCAGAAAACAACCTTTCTCCCTCCTCTATGTGACATCCTTTTATATATTTGAACATGGCTATCATATCACCCCTTAACCTCCTCTTCTCCAGGCTAAACATGCCCAGCTCCCTTAGCCGTTCCTCATAAGGCATCATTTCCAGGCCTTTGACCATTTTGGTTGCCCTCCTCTGGACACGTAAGTGGTCAGTGTCCTTCTTGAACTGTGGTGCCCAGAAGAGTTCGCGACCAGGAGGAGTACCAGGAAGAATGGATGAAATTTAAAGACTACTTAGCTAAATATGTTAAGATAACTTAATTGGAAAAGCTTGCAAATATTAGATAGGCTTAGGATTTAAAAATGTAAGAATAGGAATTAAGATGTTTAAAGCTAAGACTATAAAGAATAAAAGATGCTCAGTGATCAAGTTAATTTTTTTAGAAAATTGATTTTGGAAAACTGTTAAAATGATATACAATGAAATTCAACCAGGGGCATTTGAGGAAGTCACTTAACAACATTATTAAGACTGGTTTAACTACAATTAGGATGTATGTTTGTCTGTTTGTCTTACAATTGTTCTGCAAAATTAATTTTTAAAAAATGGGGGGGGGGGAATTAAGACAAAAACAAGTATTGGTGACAAATAATAGATAACTGAAATACGGAATAGACGGGAGGTTGGGTCTATAGTCCAAGGACCACTTTTCATTTTATTGATTTGTAATTAATATTGTCCTTATCATGGTTTGGTTTGTATTTCTTGTCTTGGTCCCCACCCCCCTTTTTTGGTGTATCAATTAAAAAAAAAAAGAGGTCTGAGCCCCACACAGACTCACCGCAGCGACGGCCTGCAGCAAAGGGGTCCGGCTTTCGTGGTTCACGTTCACCCAGTTGACGTCAGCGCCGTGAGCCAGGGCGTCCGCCATGGTGGGGAGGCTTGGGGGTGCGGCAGCAGCGCGATAGAGCAAGGCCCCTGGGTGCAAACTCTGCAGGTTGTCTGTGGGGCTTGGAGAGGCCCCTTCCCTTGCCCCTAAAAAGAGGGGGGGGCGGCAGAGAGAATCAGTCCAGCAACAGCCACCAGCGTGGATTATTTAAGAAGCTGTCTTGTACTGAGTTAGACCACTGGCCCATCTAATTCAGGAATGCCAACACTGGCTGGCAGCAGCAGCACCTCTCCAGGATTTTATTCATTCCATATATACATGACCCAAATGCAGTTTACGAAAAGAGCTAGAGCAATGACAGATTGAGGTTGAATCCTGACAAGACAGAAGTGCTGTTTTGGGGGGACAGGGTGTGGGTGGGTGTGGGGGGCTCTCTGGTCCTGAATGGGGCAACTGTGCCCCTGAAGGACCAGGTGTGCAGCCTGGGAGTCATTTTGGACTCACCGCTGTCCATGGAGGCACAGGTCAGTTCTGCGTCCAGGGCAGCTGTCTACCAGCTCCATCTGGTGCGCAGGATGAGACCCTCCCTGCCCGCAGACTGTCTCGCCAGAGTGGTGTATGCTCTAGTTATCTCCTGCTTGGACTACTGCCTTGCGCTCTACGTGTGGCTACCTTTGAAGGTGACCCGGAAACTATAACTAATCCAGAATGCGGCAGCTAGACTGTTGACTGGGAGCGGCTGCCAAGGCCACATAACACCGGTCCTGTAAGACCTACATTGGCTCCCAGGACGTTTCCAAACACAATTCAAAGTGCTGACCTTTAAAGCCCTAAACGGCCTCAAAGGCCCAGTAGACCTGAAGGAGCGTCTCCACCCCCATCGTTCTGCCCAGACACTGAGGTCCAGTTCTGAGGGCCTTCTGGCGGTTCCCTCCCTGCGAGAAGCCAAGTTACAGGGAACCAGGCAGAGAGCCTTCTCAGTGGTGGCGCCCGCCCTGTGGAACGCCCTCCCTTCAGATGTCAAAGAGAAAAATAACTACCAAACTTTTAGAAGACATCTGAAGGCAGCCCTGTTTAGGGAAGCTTTTAATGTTTGATGCATTACTGTATTTTAATATTTTGTTGGAAGCCACCCAGAGTGGCTGGGGAAGCCCAGCCAGATGGGCGGGGGTATAAATTATGATGATGATGACGATGAAACCAAGAGAAATTTACAACAGCACTTTGAAGCATACAAATTAAAATTGCCTTCACTTCCCTATGCATCTGGGTAGGCCTGTCGAAACAATGATGTTTTTAGCAGGCGCTGAAAGGAGTCAAGCGAAGGCACCTGCTTGCTCTCAAGAGGCAGGGAGTTCCACAGTGTCGGTGGCGCCAATTCAGCCAAGTGGACCAAGGGAGATCTAATAGGTAAACTGGTCCCCAAGTTGTTAAGGGCTTTGTACAGTGGTGCCCCGCAAGACGAATGCCTCGCAAGACGGAAAATCCGCTAGACGAAAGGGTTTTCCGTTTTGGAGGTGCTTCGCAAAACGAATTTCCTATGGGCTTGCTTCGCAAGACGAAAATTTCTTGCGAGTTCCTGCAGGGTTTTTTCCCTCCCCCCCCCTTTTTCCCAAGCCGCTAAGCCGCTTATCAGCTGATCCGCTAAGCCACTTAACAGCTGATCGCTAAGCCCCTTAACAGCTGATCGCTAAGCCGCTTAACAGCTGATCGCTAAGCCGCTTATCAGCTGATCCGCTAAGCCGCTTAACAGCTGATCGTTAAGCCGCTTAACAGCTGATCGCTAAGCCGCTTATCAGCTGATCCGCTAAGCCGCTTAACAGCTGATCCGCTAAGCCGCTTAACAGCTGATCCGCTAAGCCGCTTAACAGCTGATCCACTAAGCCGCTTAACAGCTGATCCGCTAAGCCGCTTAACAGCTGATCCGCTAAGCCGCTTAACAGCTGATCCGCTAAGCCGCTTATCAGCTGATCCGCTAAGCCGCTTAACAGCTGATCGCTAAGCCCCTTAACAGCTGATCGTTAAGCCGCCTAACAGCTGATCGCTAAGCCGCTTATCAGCTGATCCGCTAATCCGCTAAGCCGCTTAACAGCTGATCCGCTAAGCCGCTTATCAGCTGATCCGCTAATCCGCTAAGTCGCTTATCAGCTGATCCGCTAAGCCGCTTATCAGCTGATCCGCTAAGCCCGCTAAGCTGCTAATAGCGCTAATCCGCTAATGGGCTTGCTTCGCAAGACAAAAAAACCGCAAGACGAAGAGACTCGCGGAACGGATTCTTTTCGTCTTGCGAGGCACCACTGTATACGGATAATAACACCTTAGACGCAGCCCCGATTGGCAAGCAGTGCAGACACCCGACTGCCAACAGGAGAAAGGCCTTGTCAGGATACTAGCCCCTCTGCTCAGAGAACTAACATTTTTGTTTAGGCAAGCCTACCCAGTCATTCAGGAAGCCGCTGCGAGTTCAAATCTGCCCTTATTCCGTTGTCGTTTTAACCTTTCAAAATCTTACGATCGTTTTATTGCTTTGTCCTTTTTTTGTCATCTGCTTTGAGGTTTGTTTTTGCAACGAAGCTGCAATTCCTGCAATGCCGGGGCTTGGACTTTCGATTCTGCAATTCTGTGATTCTATAAGCCGCGTGTGAATTTTAGGAGAGAAATAAATGCGTCCTGGCATTCTGGGGCTAGGACTGAACAGCACCTGGAAAGATGAGAGCTCACACCCAGCCCAGCTCTCTCCCATGTGTGTCCCCATCCATAGCTGTCAACTTTCAGATTTGAAAATAAGGGATCAGCAGCCTCACCTGTCCCGGGGACAGTCTACGGGATATTTAACAATCCGTGATAGCAGTGGGAAACAGTGCTGGAATAAGGACATTTCCCGCAAAATAAGGGAAGGTTGACATGGTTGGAAATGAAATAAATAGAAAGGATCATAAACTATTTTTATATGCAGTAACAGGAGCAAGAATATTACTGGCCCAAAAATGGAAGCAGGAAGAATTACCATTGATAGAAGAATGGAGAATGAAATTAATGGACTACGCAGAAATGGATAAATTAATAGGAAGAGTCTGAAACCAACGAGATCACAAGTTTACCAAGGACTGAAGCAAATTTGTGGATTATATGGGATGAGCAAACAACGTTTGTGGGTTTACAGGAAGCTTTGTGAAGAAATAATATTAGAAACGCTGTAAAAAAGGGAACAAGGGAGTATGTTTATTTAAAACAAAAGGCAATGTTAAATTTAGAATTGCGGATAGAAGATTTGATAACGGAAGATTTGCGGGTGAGTCGAAGGAAGTCAAAATTGGTATTTGTGATAATATTGAAAATGTATGTTTAAATTTTATATTGGAAATTGAATAAAAATAATTTTTTAAAAAAGAAATAAATAAGGGAAGGTTGACAGCTATGGTCCCCATCCCTCCTAAACTGAGCTCAAAAACGAACCTCCACCACCTTTCGAAGTATACCTGGCTTTGAGAGACACATACCTGGGTTTGGGCTCGCTTGGCTTGGACTACTTCCTGTAGGAGTAAAAAAAAGGGGGACCAGTAAGAAACGGTATATTCTTTCAGCGTTCGGGTAAAACCCATCGGTTTCCTTATCTGCACCGCATTACGCAATGACGACTTTACACCTAGTTTGCAAGGAGGCTGAGAAGGTGAGTGCTGGTGGTGCAGCTGTTACGTTAGCAGGTAAAGGTAAAAGGTAAAGGACACCTGGACGGTCAAGTCCAGTCAAAGGCGACTCTGGGGTTGTGGCGCTCATCTCGCTTTATCGGCCGAGGGAGCCGGCGTTTGTCCACAGACAGCTTTCTGGGTCATGTGGCCAGCAGGACTAAACCGCTTCTGGCGCAACGGGACACCGCGACGGAAACCCGCTAAGGGCAGGGGGGGAGGAAGAGAGCCTCTCTCCCTACCTGCGCCCCCTCGTTTCTGCCCCGGAGGTTTGGGTTTGGGGAACGGTTTGGGCTTCTCGAACCCCCGGACGTCTCCTCCCCGATTCAGCCGTGCCCCGGCCTTCGGGAACTGGGTGATGAACTTCTTTTCCACGTATTTGGCCCTGATCCAGGCCTCCTTCTCCAACCTTGGGGCAGAGAAACAGAAGAAGAAATTATTTAATTTAATTTAGTTTATATTTTATAACAATGACAGGTACCAAAGGTGAATTTTGCACATGTTCAGAGGCTTGACAACATCCCTGCACAGAATTGACAAGCGAAGGGGGAGGAGCCAAAGTTTCCTGGTGCATGATGGGAGTGGCCCTTTCATCTCTCTCTCCCCCCCCCATTTAGAGAGTGAGGGATGGTGCAGATCAGTCCTATGCAACAGCACCACCTACTGGGCAACCGACGGTAGGTGCTTTCTGGCCACCATGCTATCAGCCAAGGAAGTTGCAGGTACCTGAAATCTCCTCTTCCCTCCCCATCCCTCTTTCCTTTTGTGCCATGTCTACCGGAATGCGTCAGCCCCTGGGACAGGGACCGCCTTATCTTTTAATACACAGGGAGTGCTGAGAACTTTTTAGGCGCATTATAAAGGGAGGGAATCAAATGTGTGGACACAAAACACAAATCTCTCCTTCTGTGGCTGCGTGGTGTAGTGGTTAGAGCACCGGCTCTCAAACTTTCTTCTCTGGGCTACACTTTCAGAATAACATTTTTGCTCGGGCCACACTGAATTGTTTTATTCCTGAGAAAAACAATGGAATACTTCAAGCAGTACTCGATTTATAAGACAGAACACAACTCCTTTATAATATGATCACAGGACACTCAGAAAGTATAAAACAAGGCAACTGCCTAAAAACATGAATCACTCCCAAAATATAATTAGGAAGAAGCCTCTTAAGTAAGTATACAAAGTCGAGGAGATGTGTGAGCTTGTTTTTTGCCAGGTAATCTCATTTATATCAGATCTCATCAACACAAGAAGCCTTTCTCTTCTGTGATCTTTCTTAATTGCCCAAATTTATTTGCCCTGTACACAACAATACGTCGTGGAGAACTGCATAAGAATAGCCAACGTCCCTGAAGAGAGGCGTGGATAGTCTTTATGGCTGTCTATCCATATATATATATTTAACACTATAGTATACCGTACGACAGGGGGTGCGGGTGGTGCTGTGGGTTAAACCACAGAGCCTAGGACTTGCCGATCAGAAGGTCGGCAGTTCGAATCCCCGTGACGGGATGAGCTCCCGTTGCTCGGTCCCTGCTCCTGCCCACCTAGCAGTTCGAAAGCACCTCAAAGTGCAAGTAGATAAATAGGTACCACTCTGGCAGGAAGGTAAATGGCGTTTCCGTGCGCTGCTCTGGTTCGCCAGAAGCGGCTTAGTCATGCTGGCCACATGACCCGGAAGCTGTACGCCGGCTCCCTCGGCCAGTAAAGCGAGATGAGCGCCGCAACCCCAGAGTCAGCCACGACTGGACCTAATGGTCAGGGGTCCCTTTACCTTTATACCGTACAACACTGAAATGTTTAAATGTTTCTTTGCTTGTCCCTGAACGTTCCGGCCACAGTTGCCATCCTCTCCTTGCGCACCAGTGCGGTGCGTCTCATGCCCTCAGAAAACCACTGGGTCACAGCAAGATCTGGGTTCAAATGCCCCCTTGGCCATGGCCGAAGCTTGTGGGTGTGGCCTAGAGGCAGCCACTGCCAAGCCTCAGCCTAACCTACCCTGCAAGGTTGTGGTGAGGATAAAAGTGGGAATTAGAAAACCATGCACACTAACTTGAGCTCCTTAAGTTGGGATAGAAATGTAGATAATCTTTTTATAGCAGATGGGGGCTGGGGGGGAGGAGGAGACGTGGGGTGCTTCTACCTTCTGGAAGAAGGTAAAGGTAAAGGGACCCCTGACCATCAGGTCCAGTCGTGGCCGACTCTGGGGTTGCGGCACTCATCTTGCTCTATTGGCCGAGGGAGCTGGCGTACAGCTTCCGTGTCACGTGGCCAGCAGGACTAAGCCGCTTCTGGCGAACCAGAGCAGCGCATGGAAACGCCGTTTACCTTCCCGCCGGAGCGGTACCTATTTATCTACTTGCATTTTGACATGCTTTCGAACTGCTAGGTTGGCAGGAGCAGGGACCGAGCAATGGGAGCTCACCCCGTCGCGGGGATTCGAACCGCCGACCTTCTGATCGGCAAGTCCTAGGTTCAGTGAAGGTACAGGGTTATAAAGACCAGGACTAGCCACCTGAGAAACAGTTTCTATTTTGGTTTTAAATACAGTGTAAGGAGTCTCGATGGGAGTACAGTGCTACCTCGGGTTAAGTACTTAATTCGTTCCGGAGGACCGTTCTTAACCTGAAACTGTTCTTAACCTGAAGCACCACTTGAACTAATGGGGTCTCCTGCTGCCGCCGTGCGATTTCTGTTCTCATCCTGAATTAAAGTTCTTAACCCGAGGTACTATTTCTGGGTTAGCGGAGTCTGTAACCTGAAGCATATGTAACCTGAAGTGTATGTAACCTGAGGTACCGCTGTATATTGTATTTAAAAATGGGATATCAGAGTTTTTAGGGGGGGCTAAACAGGCTGGGATAGCAGGCTTGTTGGTTTTTGAATGTCTTATGTAGGTTTTTTTCAATTTCCTTGTTCAGTGTGGGACAATGACAATAAAGATTATCGTATCGTTCAATGAAGAGGATGTTCTCACCGCGAACAGCCCGGCTGAGGACGCTTCATGTTCATCTCTTCCACTCGCGCCTCGTAAATCTGGTTGATGACTCGGTTTCCCAGTTCGCACATCAGCTGCAGGAGGAGGAGGGAGAAGAGAGGCTCTCAAAAACTGCATCTTAGCCAACCCCCCCTGACCCATCTCTATTAGGCACCGAAAAGGAACCTTTAGCCTTCCAGCTTTTGCTAGGCTAAAACTCCCATCACTGACTGGCGGAGGATGAGAGGGGTGACAAAATGCAACTCAGCGCTGCCTGTGGACCCGAGCAGGGTTGGGTTGCATCGCAGTGCGTCCCCTTCCCAGCAATCGGCCAAGCTCTCCCTGCCCGTCCCGTCCATGTCCCGCCCTTGGGGGGGTACACCCTGCCTTGCCACAGCTTCGAGCGCGGCCACACACACGCACACACCGAGGGGAGTGACATTCGGCGCATGGCGCGCCCGCAACTCCCAAGCCTACCCTGACGCATAGCTGTCAACTTTTCCCTTTTCTTGCGAGGAATCCTATTCGGAATAAGGGAATTTCCCTTAAAAAAAAGGGAAACGTTGACAGCTAGGACCCTGAGCCGTCGGGGGAAGGCGGGGAGCTGTGCTGCTTTGCCAGTGGTCTTCCCCCAGCTCGGGGGAGGCTTGGGGGTCGCGGGCGGGCAGTGCGCTGTTGCCCCCCTCGCTCCTGGAGAAGGGCAGGGCTTAGCTTTCTTTGATGGGGGCAGTGGAGGAGGGAGGGAAAATTTCAATGGGGAGATTGACAAAAAAAATTCTGCACTGGGTACCACCTGACCTTGTTACGCCACTGCCATCATTCCCAACCACTGGTGACTGATGGGGACCGGGTACCAACTGACCTTGCTACGCCACTGCCATCATTCCCAACCACTGGGGACCGGGTACCACCTGACCTTGTTGCGCCACTGCCAGCATTCCCAACCACTGGTGACTGATGGAGAGCGGGTACCACCTGACCTTGTTACGCCACTGCCAGCATTCCCAACCACTGGTGACTGATGGAGAGCGGGTACCACCTGACCTTGTTACGCCACTGCCAGCATTCCCAACCACTGGTGACCGATGGGAACCGGGTACCACCTGACCTTGCTACGCCACTGCCATCATTCCCAACCACTGGTGACCGATGGGAACCGGGTACCACCTGACCTTGCTACGCCACTGCCATCATTCCCAACCACTGGTGACCGATGGGAACCGGGTACCACCTGACCTTGCTACGCCACTGCCATCATTCCCAACCACTGGTGACCGATGGGGACCGGGTACCACCTGACCTTGCTACACCACTGCCATCATTCCCAACCACTGGTGACTGATGGAGACCGGGTGCCACCTGACCTTGTTACGCCACTGCCAGCATTCCCAACCACTGGGGAGTTCAGAGCCCACCCGCCATTAGGCCCCCGCATTTACCTTGACTAGCTCAGGTTCCCAGGAGTCGAGTGTCAGCGACCGCACCTTGGAGAAATGGACACCGAGACTCCTAATTTGGAGACAGGGAGGGAGAGATCAGGCAAGGGGCACTCCTGCTGCATGCAGGGCGTAGTTAAACTGCGGAACTCCTGGCCACAGGAGGCAGCCAACAACCTGGAG